TGGGGGATAAAGCACATAAGAGTTCTAGGAAAGATTTTGTTTAGGTATTGAAACAGTGCTCTGACAAGAGGCACTATGAGAGAGTGAAATCGACTCTGAAGGAAAGGAGATGGAATAAAGGTTTAGGCTCTCTGCTACTTTATTTTCTGGGTAAAATGGTGCGTTAGAAATGGGTTATGTATAAGCTATTTTTTTCTTTCATATATCAATATGATCAAGAACTGGCCAAAGCTCTGGAAAATTCAGAGAGGCTTTTCAAGTTGGCTTTGAATCTATGAGAACTTTGGTCAAATGAAAGGAGTGAGAATTTCATTTTGCTTGTGAGAATATGAGGTTCTAAGTCTGTAAATGCTCACTGTATTCACGCAGGATTTTGCAGGCTAGGTCCTGAAGTTCACATGGCAAATTAATACAAATCAGCAGTTTTATATAACTAGCATATGTAAATCTGCTTTACAATACAGTTTACATAAAGGTGGACATAGGACCCAGCTAAAAATCTCATCTGCATGTGTATATAAAATCTGCTGGTAATTTTATAACCCCCATAGCTACATTTTTGTCCATAAGAAGTCTTTTTAAAAATAAAAATCACGTACTTTGGAATAGGATTTTGTACATGGGAGTTTCTAGTGCTAGGATTTCTAGCAAAATGGATGTTTCTAGCTGGGCTGATCAGACCAGACTGTTTTTATGAGCAGTGAGGAGAAACTGATGTTTTCAGGATACAATTCTTTAGCCCATACTTTGGATTTCCAAATTAAAATGAGAGTAATGGTATGCTAAATGCCTGTTTCTCTTCATAGTTTATGAAGACTTTAATGTTTCCTGACAAAATCATGCAGCCTGGATTTAATGAGAGTACCATGATTACAGGCAGCCTGATACATAAAAGAAAACAGTTACCTATTAGAAATTTAAAGGCGGGATCTGCTTCTGATCCTAGGATCTTGATTTTGTGGAAAACAGGGAATGTTACTCCATAGTTTCCTTTGGCAAAGGATTCTATTTCCTGGCTTGAGCCAGGCTCTGATTCTCCGAACTGGTTGCAGGGAAATGCCAGCACAGTGAAGTGGGAGGGACCAAACTCTCTGTGCAGCTCTTGCAGGGCGATGTAATTTTTGTCTGTGTATTGGCAGTAACTGGCCACGTTTACAACCAAAGTTGCCTTCAGAAAAATAAAGTTAAAATAACTTTAGTTATTGGTTATTAGCTATTTAGTTATTAGCTATTATTTAGTCTAGTAAGGAAAAAGCCTGTAGATTTTGTAGAGATCACAATTAAATCTTGAAACGACATTTCTCATAATCATGATGGTTCGTGTCGGAAGACTAAACATAATATGTCTGATCATTATTTCAGTAAACAAATAAAGATGAAAGCAGCTGGAGATATTTACTTTCAGACAATCTGTTGTAAAAACATAGTAAATGCATAAACTTAATCTTACAGCTTTGTTTATATATAAGCATTTAAAAAACCAGATATTTAGGACATGCACTAAAATCATATTTACTAGATAAACTTCCAAAATCCAAACACAACATTCTTAACTAACATTAAAATCCACCAATTTGCCTGTTAGGCTGTATTGACCTGTGCTAAATAATACAATTTATTTTCTTAATTTGCTAGATCTAATATTTGATTCCTGGAGCAGGCCTAGATAAAATAAATTTTCTCCAGCTTTCTGTATGAAGAATAGGAATTTAGCACAAAGCTGTGCCAAAAACTCCCATAACCAAGCCTTTTATTTACCTAGAAATGTACACATTTTTGTCAGTATGGATTCAGGACAGAAAAAGTGAAATAATAACTTACTTTCCCTCTGTACTTCTCCAAAGAAATAATCCTTCCTCGTGAATCCTTGACTTCAAAAGAGTAAAAATCTTTGATTTTAGGTTTAAAAAACCTGAGTTGCAGCAGGCAGAGAACGGTGGTGCACAAAACCATTGACAGGAAGACAACAAAGATCCTGGCTTTGTGCACTGAGTATTTCAGAGGATAACTAGTTGTGAGAGGCTCCATTTTTGAAATCTTTGTGGAGGAGCCTGGGCAGGCCTGGAATGTGAAGGAGGAGCTGAAACATGAGACTCTCAGCTCAGACCGGAAACAACAAGCTGTTCATTTTTGTCCCTGTTGCAAAAGAGCTGTAACATATCACAGTGCCTGCTGGGCTTCTGAGCACTTATATAAAGTATCAGGATCTTTTGGGGCGGAAAAGGGATGGAAGAGGGGAGAAGAAATGAGTGAAAAGTGTGTAACAATCACCTAAGGAGGTTCGGAGTGACTGACCTCTGTGGGACACTCCAGGGTGTGTCTGCACTGTCCTGAGAGCTGCTGGGGACAAGACTTGAGTTTGTGGTGCAGCTCCAGCACATCCCGTGGGCCCCCAGATGTGTCTGGTGGAGCTGCTCTGCAGGAGGCAGCTGTGTTATCAGGTAGACTTGGAGAAGCATTTCGGGGCACTGCTGTTCAGGTAGAAAAAAGGCAGGATGGCTGAAACCACCCTTTTACAAACTCAGCACTGCATCTCATCAGCTGCTGTGGGATCACAGATGAAATAAATGGGGTGGGAGATTTTTCTCCTTTTTAATGCCTTTATTAAAAAGTATCAGCTCAGGTGGGGAGAAATCGACGGGTCGCACCCACGCCGCCGCTGCTCCTAGGAGTGGCACGGAGGAGGAGGAGGGTGATGATGATGAAGATGCAGTCCGCTGGTCTGCAGGGAGAGCTGGGGCTTCCATCCTCTTGGGAGATTAGGAGATTCCCCCTTTTCCGTTTAACATTTCAGGTCCTTTCTCTAGTTAATATCTTTTTAGGTTAGGGTGAGAAGTAAAAAGGATCTTAGCAGGTACTGAATTAAGTTCCTCGTCCTTAGACATCACTTAGGTCTCTTAATTCTATGTTGGCTCGTTTTTAGGGGGTTTCCTGGAAAACTGCAAAATTTGGTGAAATGCATTCTCATCTGCATACTAGCTCTGATGTCACTCCCCTGCCCTGCTACCTGCAGGGCCCCGTGTCACTCCCCGCCAAGCATCAGGGGGACAATGGCTAATCACCAACCATTAACAGGTAATTGAAGAGGAACTCTTAACAATAGGTGGCTGCAACATGAAGCTAACTTAACAGCAACTGGTTAAACTTGTTTTAACTCTGCAACCTTAAAAAAAAAAAAAAAAGATAACTTTTTATTCAGAAAACATACAGCTGTGTAAAACTCTCTTCACTACATGGAGCAGAGAAAAACTCCTTGGCAATAGGCTGTCATAAAGGAAGATAATGTGGATTTTTTTTACATCGAGAGTGGGGATGATAATGGAAAATGGGTTGCTTTCTTAATTGCTACTGGCTACCTGGCAACGAGCTGTAGTGAGATGGTAAGACTGAAGGCCTGTAAGAGAGGAGAGCTGAAAGTCTCAGGTCTAAACCAAGCTCCAGTGGTGTTTTGCTGCTTGTGAATTTCTGCTTAGGCTCTTTCCCTCCCAGTGCAAACCACCATGTACGAGTAATTTCTGTCTCAGTTGGTTTTCTTTGTCACCCTGATTTTTTGCCGCAATTAGATGACGCATTTTAAAGGATGGAAATAGAAGGGGCTTTTCTGGGTGTAAAACCTTCAATCTGATTGTTTCTTCCTTTTTGGTGACTTCAGTATTACTACCAGTATAATTGATTTGTACAATATCATAGTGGTATGTTCAATTATTTCTATTATCTCTAAATAGTTAAAATCCACATGCATTTTGTTTAACAAGACTATAGGGACAGCTTCAAACTGTTCTACAAAACATGCTGGGCAAACACTGTGAAATTTCAGTATTTGTATATGAGGACATGTTAGGCTTTGTCTCTGCCTGGCAGTGAGGACTGTGAGCATGGTGTTTTGGTGGTGGGGAAGAAAACACACAGACTTCTGTGCTGAAATGAAAAAAGCTGTACTCAACAAGCAAGCACAGGTGACTAATGCTGACCTTAAAGGCAAGAACAAATGTGTTTGGTTACAGAAAGTCCATGTAACATCCTGATGTCTAAGCTACATTTCAAGTGTTTGCAATTTTCATCTAATATTATTTCAGAACAAACTAAAACAAACAAACAAAACTTAATATATTATAATACTGGTGCACCTAATAATTACCCAGAAGCCCGTTATATGAACTGTGTCTCCTTTTGTTACTCTAAACTAAAATCTTGCTCAAAATTTGTCTAAAACCCAAAATATGTTGTTTAATATTGTCTGGGCTCTTACATTTTAAGTTGTGATAGGTTTTTCAAGTTTTATGGTTTTCTGACACAAGTTGCTCTATGAATGGATTTGAAAAAATGCAAATAAAAAAACCAATTTAATCTTTACTTAGTATCCCTTAATATATTATAAATACAAGATAGATAACATTAAAAATAATGACATGAGGAAGCTGCAGTGGTGGTGAGAAGGTTCAGAAGTCAGAAGAGATCTAAATCCTTTTTCACGGGAGGAGATCAGAGAACCTGTTTTGTTCCAGGCAGACAACCAGTCCCCCTCTGGGAAACTCCCAGACCCCTAAACCTATGTTACTATGTGGCTGAAGGTGCCTTGGGTCACCAAAAGCCAGTGATGCAGCTTTAGTGCATGAGTGACAGAAATGTAGGTTCTTTTTTTTTTTTTTTTTAATTTAATTTTTTTTTTCTTCCCTGACACAGGCTTTCTGTGCCAGCGTTGACTCAGCTGTACATATGTGAACAGAAAGGTTTGTTTTGCACTATTTCCCCCAGTCTGCTCGCTCTTTCTTGGCGCGTCTGACTGTCTGCCGGCGCCGCGCTCAGCCGGCATCCGCGGCTGTCGCTCTTAGGCAAGGCCACGGCAGAATTAAAAACAACCCGAACTAAGGCCAGGCTGACATTAAGCCTTGGCTAACCTGTGTTTTTGGCGTCCTGCTGCGGGTGCAGGTGGCAGGCTGGGGGCGGCCGGGGAAGGCTCAGTGCGGCACGGGGGCCAGGACAGTGAGCAGAAAGCACTCCGGGTGGAGGGAGGAGGGCCTCCGCAGGGATTTCTGAAAGAGCCTACGGCCGGGAATCTGTGCGAGGTGAGTGTCGGTGTTTCCCGTTTCCTGCTGCAGCTGTCTGCGCAGGCTGCCCAGGCACAGCAAGCTCCAGGACAGCATCCTCTCATTTTTAAATTTACACCGAAGTACTGCAGCAAGTCCAGAGCAGCGTAGCAAAGCTGGTGATGGGTCTGCAGCACCAATCCTTTGAGGAGCTGCTGAGGGAGCTGGGGGTGTTTCTCCTGGAGAAAGGGAGGCTCAGGGGAGACCTTATCACTCTCTACAGCTGCCCGAAAGGAGGTTGCGCCCACGTGGGGGTCAGTCTCTTCTGCCAGGCAACCAGCGGCAGGACAAGAGGAAATATCCCAAGCCATTAGGTTTAGGTTGGACATCAGAAGGACTTTCTTCAGAGAAAGGGTAATTAGACATTGGAATGGGAAGGGGAAGTGGTGGAGGCACTGTCCCTGGCAGTGTTTAAAGAAAGACTGGGCATGGCACTTAGTGCCATGGTCTGCTGAAATGGTGGTGTTAGGTTATATTCTGGACTTGATGACCTCAGAGGTCTTTTCCAACCTAATTGATTCTGTGATTTTTCTCACAGGAGCATGCTGCTGTGGTGAAAGGAAAGCTGTACCCAGGGTTCCCCTTCCCAGCACGCAGACGGCTTAGGGCAGCAGGCTGCGCAGACAGCTGACACTGAGTGCGGTGAAAGGAAAGAGGAAAAAACTGGTCTTATCCCTAGTCAAGAAGTGTCTTTGGCAGACTAGTCTTATTTTGTTGTGATGTGGGACACCCAGGCATGGTTTTAAGTTCCATGGGACTGCAAGAGGCCACAGGGTCTTTACCAGCATGTTCACATCTGGAAAAGTTATCAACAACTGCCAGAAGGGTAGGAGAGCTCAAACAGGCTCAAACTCGTTTGCTTCCTTCTGCTTCTCCTTTACCGCACGTGCAGCTCCTGCAGACCCAGCCAAAAGTGCAGAGCAGTCCAGAGGCCTGGATTTGGGGTGGTGTGCACACATGGGAGGAGGAGCTTGCCTTGCATGGCTGTTTCTTCTCAAATGCCTAAGGCTTTATTAATTGACAAAGGAACGCCGCCCAGGGCACACCCTCACTCTACCCACCTTAGAAGAGATCTACTGGAGGGCCTTTAGAGTGCAAATCAAACTTCCAGTACTCTGGGTCGGTCTGGAGGAGAGACGATTCTAGGGGAGGCTGTTTCCCTCCGTCAGCAACAGAGGGAGCTGACGGAACGTCGGATGAGCTTTGAGAGCGCTGGCTCCGGCTTCCAGCAGCGCTGGGGGAAAGTGGGGAAGGGTTTGCATGCTGCGTGTCCACAAAGGGCTTCCTGGAAGATGTAGGGAACTTCACATGGTTGACTTCTTGATTAATAATTGAAATATTTAGAAACCGAAGAAAAGATGCTCCTAAGTGTTCTGGATATGTTTCCATGGTTATGGTCAGAAAGTGTAATTCTATTTTCTACTAAGGAGAATACCAGAGCTTTTCACTAATGCATGCTCAGGTCTAGGAAACTCTGTCTCTAAAGCAGTTTGAAGTCCTTCCGTCTTCTTGAACAGAAAGTTCTTCATGCTGCCTCTACAGGAGCTGGAGAAAACCTGTGTGGTCCTGGGAAATCAGATGTTAATTTTCTAACAAGCAGGATTTTCCTGCAACTAGTCAATCAACCTAAGGCCAGACATGAGCTGCAGTAGTAAAAAGGCATTCTTTATAAAGGGAGTGATCAATCTGATCTTGTTTAGACATCTCTTTCAGGATAAGATTAGTAGTGCTGTAGAAATATCTTTTCCTCACCGACAGAAGGAAAGCAGGGTGACTGCTCCAAATGTCAGTATCCGCACTGCCCCACTTAGTGTACAGATCTGCTTTCTGAGTGCTGCTCTTACACAGTCAGTGCTGTTCTAAAAAGTGCTTGACGTGTATTCCCATGCACATTTTTAAAAGGAATTTTTTCCATTCAAACTGTTTTTACAGTAACAGCTCAGATGCCTAAGAAATTCTCTATCGTGAAAACTTCTCTACCTAGCAGTCGTGCTGCAATGGGTTTGGAAGGAAGGAATAACAGGAGAGCTGAAACATAAAAGTAATAGGTGAGTTATTCCATATTCAAAGGTGCAGATAGAATATTTGCTTTTCTGATGTGTTTTTTTACTTTGTCTTTTGCCTGGAATCAGTTATGAGGATACTACCTTATTGACATGGATAACAATAACATGAGAAGGTCCATTTAGGAAATGTCTGCTGGAGAAAAGTTAGGAGTAACTTTTTTGTCATTTATTTGATTCAGCATTTTTTCTTTTTCCCTAGGTTATTATCCTGTAAGCTAAAATCAAGACTAAACTAATGAAGCCCCCAAGATGGGTTTGTTACCTCTGAGAGAAAGCATATATTGAAAGAAATATGCATGAAGAACAAGAATGACTCAGTTTCCCACTTGCTTTAACAAGAAGATAATTGCTTCAGTTCTTCAGGATGTAGCTGTTGATTTTGACACAGACAGAATGAGGTGCTATGAAAAAGTTACCGAAAAAGTTACCAAAAAATTTACCAAAAAGTACCTTTCTGAGAATATTGTTGTGAAAATAGATGGTCAGATTTTGATCAAGGTTGAAAGAACACAAGGAATCTGCTTAACATGTGAAACAAAGACTTCAGAACACTTCCTGTTTAAGTGTTATTTTCTGTTGCTGTACATTTTATCAGTTTGTTCTTTATAGTGAACACTGGCACACAATTTTTTTTCTCTTTTTTAGGCAGTATCCATGCCTTTTTGGACCATAAATCTATGCTTCAGCTACCCACCTTCATTAGTTTCTCTTCTGTACAAAATTGACTTCTTGTGTGAAACATTGGTACTTATGTTAAAAAATCTATTGCCATAATATGACACTCAAAATCTCTTCTCTAATTTACTGCTATCTCCTTGTGACTGTTCAAATACTAAGACGGAACTTTTTAATCAGTGGTTACAATTTCTGTGTTCTTTCCTCCCTTGGATTGCACCAGTTCCAAAGCTGACATGAAGAGGCTAATAGCTGCTTTCACATAATTACTCTTTTAACCATAACTATTAAGTGAACTTGCTTCAGAAATGCATACCTAATATATTTTTTTATAGCATTTTATAATCCTTAATTCATATGATTGAGAAATTTCTGTGGGGGTATTAAACTGAAGTTCTAAGAAAAGGAGGTGGTGGTATCAGTATTGATGGACTAATTAGGGTTGTTGTCTGATGCTTTGTAATAGTGGTAATTTTGAACATCTCTGGATGTTGGTTAGAGACCGTGCGCTTGTATCATTCTGGGAAACCTGATTCTTGGGACAATCATTTAATTTTCTTAATAAACAAAATAGTTTTGAAATTCTTCCTTTCAACAAAAAACAGTGCTTTCTTTCCTCTCTCTCCCTCCATCAACTGATTGGAGAGTCAGTAAATTTTAGAACTCTTAAAATAAACAACTCAATTGTTTTAATAGTCTTAGGGTAATCTAGCCAACAGAGAAATGGAATGTAACTGCTCTTTTTTGATGAGATGATAAACTCTTTCCATGAAGTAATGTACAGAAAACATTTTTCTCTTATAATGAAACATCTTTTAGAAGATGAGTACATGTCGTTCTGTTCAAATAGAGTCATAGAATTATTTGGGTTGGATGGGACATTATTTAAATCTAGTCCAAACCACCTGTAATGATGAGGGACATTTTCAACTTGGTCAAGATGCTGATCAAGTCCAGCTGGGCCTTGAATGTTTTCAGGGGTGGGGCATCCACCACCTCTTCAGGCAACCTATTGCACTACTTCACCACCCTCATTGTAAAAATCTCTTCCTCACACCTAGTGTCAATCTCCCCTCCTTTAATTTAAATCCATTACCTCTTGTCCCATCACAAGACGCCCTGCTAAAAGGTCTGTGCTTCTCTTTCTTATCAGCCCCCTGTAAGTATTTAAAGGCTACAATAAGGACTCCCCAGGGTCCCTCCTTCAGGCTGAACAGCCACATCTCTCAGCCTGTCCCCAGAGAAGAGTGCTCCAGCCCTCTGATCACTTTTGTGGGTCTGCTCTGGACCCACTCCAGCAGGTCTTTCCTGTGTTGAAGGCCTCAGAGCTGGACACAGCATTCCAGGTGGGATCTCACCAGAGTGGAACAGAGAAGAAGAATCACCTCCCTTAATTTGTTGGCCACACAGTTTTTGTGCAGCCCAGGATACAATTGGTTTTCTGGGCTGTAACTGCCCATTTCCAGCTCATGTCCAGCTTTTAATCCATCCATGCCCCCAAATCATTCTGGGCAGGGCTTCTCTCAATCTGTTCATCCCTCAACCTGTGTTGATACTGGAGGTTGCCCTCACCCATGAGCAGCACCTTGAACTTGGTCTTATTGAACCTCATGAGGTTCATGTGGATTCTGTGTAAACCTAGATTTATACTGTAACATACACATGTAGAAATTTGAGTTGGAGCAAATATACTCAGAGTTCTAGATCCAGGACAACAACAATCACTTCCTAAACTGTGGTATGGGCATCTTTGCAATACATTATGGTGTGACCAAAATGTGAGTTCTTCCTAAAACCATTTGAAAGTCAGTGTTGGCTAAACCCACATGAAAATCTACTTATCTTCTCAAATACAGTAATAAATGACTATTTACTTTGTGCAGCCTGTTAGTATAAAGGAATGGGATCTGTTGAGAATAGTCTGTTGAAAACAGAATCTTCTCACATACCAGTGAGTGTGTGTGGTCTCTCTGTGGGACAGAATATTACTTCCTTGCATACACAATCAATTTTCCACAGAAATGTCTGCTCTAATTTTAGAGGGACATATATCCAAGCAATGTGATTAGCTTTTTGCCAAGTTGTCAGTATAAATCTTACAGAAAATGCCTCTGAAAGCTGAAGGCCTGCTGTAGAACAGCTGGAATATATAAAGGAGAAACATTTCTATTTTCCAGTTATGTTTTTCTAAGACCTTTCTTGTCATGATTGCAGCAGGGTTTTGAAGAAGAGTAACACAGACTGTGCATGGAAGGGCAGATTTCACAGACAATGGACAGAAAGAATTCACTAATCTTGAGTGGGTGATAAAAATATCCGCTGCATTTTCACATTACTATATATAAATAATTACAGAACAAACAGAAAATTGGCATCAGAACATTTATCTCAGTGACCATTGTGAAGAAATGCATATTATTAGGAATTGATGATGATATACTTGTCTTGTGTGAGCTGATCTGAGTCTTTGAATCTTGGTTAAAGACCTAATGATTTAGATCTCTTTTTCTTTATTCTTGCTGCATCACCTCTTTCTTTCATACCCAAGGAAATGCTACGTAATTTTCAAGATAATATTCCTCAGAATATAGAATATATTGTAGCTATTTTCCACTTTATATTGCAGCACTGGTTTAGGGAATGGGATCACGGAGTGGAGTGTCTGTGAGCCTGGTTTGAGGGAGGGCTCTGACATCCAGGGGGTGTCGTGTTGTAATCAATGGCCCTGCAGTGTGTGCACCACAGAACTGCTCTTCCCTCACAGAGAGATTTACTGACAGCATCCAGGAAACGCCACTGCAAGCTCATAGCACTAGTCCAAATGCCAGTTCAGAAGAGGACAAGAGGTCGCTAAGGTTTTACAGGTGACCCAGGCAGTAACTCCAGATGTACAGGTTTGGACCTTCTTCCACTGCTAAGCTGGCCTTATTCAAAGAGCTTTGTTAAAGTGTGTATGATCATTAGCAGTGAAATCATGTTTTATGGAGGGAAAAATACCTCAAGTCTCTCAGGTTAGAGCAATATGATTTGAACACAATTTGATATTCTGTATTTATTATTCATTTCCCATCTCAGAGACAGGCTGTGTTGAGGCTTTTGTGTAATGACTATTGAGTCCTTTGATGGGATTGGTGTTATCCACGATATTTAAATATGTTTTTCAACTGACTTCTTAATTCAGTCAAGTTTTCACTTCAGGTTAGCTTCTGATGGTCCCGGAGGTTGGATATAGCATTGCAGAAAGTGGTGATGTGAAGGTCTGGGAAAATACTAGTTGCATCTGGAAAGGCACGTTCCAATTTTTAGAAAATTGGAAAATAAGATGCTACAGTCTACATCTACACTGGAAAAGCAAGTGCATCCATCTCTTTCAGTAAGTGTTACAGAACAATACAAAGTGGCTGAGAGCTACCTGTCCACAGCTATTTCTAGGGTCCTCACAACGTCTGAACACATAGTATTCCAGCTTTTTCAGTGTGGTTAACCCCTAGCATTTTGCCTTGTTCTCCTTTGGTCCCCATCTGATACACTGGTGGTCCTAAAACATTAATTTCCTGTCAGCTTTTCTGTTTCAGAACACTCCAAGCCATATAGGGCTGTGCCGTGGAAGGGGCAGGGGCTGTGTGTTACATGGGCTGTTGAGTACATGAGATCAGGGCATGCAGAGATAGTGGAGTTTTGTTGCTCTTGCCTGTAGGGAAAGGTCGGACTTTCCCTAGCACTGTTGCTGGTTTCATCTGTGGGGGAGTTGATTAATTTACTACACAAAATATCCTATGAATGACTGGGCATTAGGGAGAGTGAATGATCAAGTGATTTGAAAACAGGGGGAACCTGAACAGAAATTATGCAGGCATTCCCATACTTATTTGGGTGTGATAGAGTTCATTAAATATCAGACTAATATTTTGGTGTCTTCTGTCTTGTACAGATGATTTGTTTTGGTGCTCTGGCTATTTCTCTTTATGAATCTGGATTTCATCCCATGTAGAAGAAATTGGGGTTTTGTGATAGATATGTATTTTTTTCACTGCTTTTCTCAGTGCAAATAAGCCTCATTTCAGAGCAATAGTATAAGGATAAATCCTAGTGTTTTTTTTCCCTTGATGACAAATGAATGTAGGCTTTAAGAATACCAGGTTTGATGCCACTCACCTACTTGTTAATTGAGTAGTTTGATGGGACAGTACTACTTATCACTTCCTGAGTCTCATTTTGAGAATTGATGCAGGCATTTGAGCACCAAAATATTGTAAAAAATCAGTGGTATTTGCTATTAACCAGGTAAAAAACCAAAATGGCACAATGAAATTTAATTTTCACTAAGAAATCCTGCTAACATGTGGCTGTTATGCATATTAACATGTCTGTTATGCATATTAATGTACCTATGAAGTAGGTGAATACAGCTGAAAGGGTAACCAGTATGATTTGGGTTAGATGAATTACTCACAAGAATAGAGAATCCTGGAATGAGTTAGAGATGATTTAATCTGTTACTGCCTCATTGGGTATTAACAGCTACCATCATTAAAGAAGAAAATTATATACAGAGCTTCAGAAATGTTACTAAGTGCCCTAAATCTCTTGAATTATTTTACTTGGTAGGATTCAGAAAGGCTTTGAAAATTTTTCAAAAGTAATAAAATATCTAGATATTAGAAATACATTTTTTTTTCTGTACAAGTTTTGTTTCAGTAGTGTTTGACCTTTTTAGGGTTAGAATGCAGTGTTACAAATCCCATTGTGCAGATCTGAGATCATTCCTGCAAACCTTCTTAATTAACTCCACAAAATTTTAGACACAGAAGAAAATCGCTGTAATCTACTTGCTCATCTTTAGAAAGAAGGAATACTACAGCTGAGAGGAGAAATATTTGCTCTGTCCAATTGAATTTTGGAATAGGGGATAAGGTTAAGGACAGAGTATGGAAGGGTTTTATGATGTAACTTTTCCACAGCTGTCATCAAAATTTAATGTAGGATGTGTATGTGTATATTTACAGAGTACAAATATTCTATCAGTGTTGAATTCTTTTTTGAACCAGAGAGGTTAGTTGTAGAGATAAATATCATAATCTGCCCTTGAAACTTTTAAGACTCATTGTAATTACTACTCTCCGGGTAATAATTTGAAGAAGAAAATTAAAACACAGAGAAAATTGCAAAAATGTGGTCTTTGGCATTTTGCTTTATACACTACAGCAATATAATTTCTTATACATGAGAATCTAGCATTAAATCATTAAAAGCACTAATAATCTGGATTTTTTCATAGTGCTGAGGAGTCTTTGCAGCCTAATGTAGACAGTGACCACAAAGGATGACTCTACTTTCTCACACCTGTATTGGCTTTTGTTTCTCATTACTGTGCTGTCATGAGCTTAGTGTAGTGTGATTGAAGAGCGTTTGTTTTAGAAACCTTTTCCTGTGGTTAGATGTCGGTGGGGCAGATATTTATGGGGAAATAAACTACACAGAGAGCAAAAGAATTAATTACTGTATAAGGGGGTTTTGGAGCAGGAGAGCACACAGGAACAATTCTGCTAATAGCAAATTTTGACAAAAACAAGGGCAAAAAAACCAGAAAACCACCATATTTTATATTAATCATTAAACAAAATATAGTGGAGCCTATTCTCAGTTCTACCTGACTGAATTCATGGAGGTTTCAAAAAGCTGGCGAAATGTGGCTTCTACCTGGTCTAGTGTGTCTAGTGTTTTGAGCCTACCCAGGATAAATTAGGCCCTTCAGGCATCCTCTGAACTGTGTAGAGGCAAATATAATGAGAATGTGAAAGGCTTAGGCCCTAGAAAAAAATGGTGGTGTTTTGCGTTACTGATTTGTGTGTGATGAAGCTTCAAATACAGGAGGTCAAGAGGGCACCCAAAATGAGCTTAGGAGTGTTACCACTATCCACACCTTTGGAGCAAGATGTGAGGCTTTATACTACTGGCTGGTGCAATGATTACTCTAAGTTAATTCCTCTAATGTGTTGTTTTTTCACAGACTGTGAATTCTTCTGTGTGTTTCAAGAAAGATGGTGATATGTCCCCTTCACATAAAATGCTGCAGGACATAACTCTCATATAGTTTCCTTCAGCTATAGATCTCAATACAATTTTCAAATCAAATAGATCTGCCTCCACTTAAAAGTAAGTTAAATGTTTCAGCAATCAGCCTTGGCTGTCTCGTAGCCAGTAACCACAGCAGCAGTTTCATTGGGTGGACTTTGAAATACCTCTTTTTGGAAGACAGCAGTGACATAGTTTGTGGTTTGGGTGACACCTTCTATATTCTGACTTATGTCTTTTTGGAGAGGAGGCAAAAGTTAAACACTCAAAAGTTACACACGAATACATACAAATCTCAGGTCTGAAGACTTTGAGCACTTCATAAGCTCCAATAAACTATTTATGTGTATGTGTTTATAATTGTCCCTGGGAAGATTTTTTCAACATAACTTTGCAAGTGTTCATGTACATCCATAAACAGGATAAAGTTTTGTTGGTATGATATACACTGATAATGCACAAGGTATGTCCCAAAGCTGACAACAATAGCAACAGTGGTCTATGGAAATGATTTCTGCTGCAACAGTCAGGTCTATAATTAAACAGGCTGATGGATTCAGAGAAATTCCAGTTACCAAAAAAAGATGCCAGACCTTGGATTATGGTAGCACATTCTTTGTTTCAAGGGTCATGCATGGTTTGGTATTAAATGTTGTACACCATCTGCTGCTGACCTACATGACATAACAGGGTGTTCTGAAGCTAATTATTACAGCGATTTGTTTTACAAGTGCAATGTGCCCAGCATCAGGGACAATGGAAACAGTACTCCCGTCATACATTTACTGAGCAAGCCCTGAAGATGAGGAGCAGAGTTTCCTTAATAACGTTTTGCATTTTCCCCTACCATCTGCAGTGGAAATGTTATCATTAACTCAAAGATGATGGAAAAACTGTACCATATAGACTCTTTCCTATGTCTTTCTCAGTCACAAGAATCACCTTGGAACAAGGTTGGTTTTGGGTCTATATTTGTTGGAGAAGGAGCCTCATATCTGGTGGAAGAAATTAGGGTGGGTGATGTGCCAATGTAAAATCCTAGGTGAGAGATTAAAAATTCTAGTGGGTAAAGTGTAACTCAGATGCTGCTGTGCAAACTTACACATCTGAGGAAATTAGACTTACAAAGACCTGGGCTTGTCAGAGGTATTCTCCTTCATGAAAGTGGAATGCTTGCCAGTAAAGTTTTCATGGAAGAACTCTCTAGATGCTTTTCCATGGTATCTCTCCCCCAAACCGTACTGCCCCTTACCCCAGCTTATTATCTACTTTTTTTCTTGAAGAAAGAAAACGTACTGTTTTTTTTTTTTTTTGCAGTAATTTTTAGTAGCTTTCTTCTAGAGCTAAACATGCTGGGCTGGATCCTTGAGAATCTCATTGCTGTCACTGTAGGACCTGCTGCACACATCTGGAATGGACTCTTGATTTGAAAGCCATTGAAGGCATTGATTTGAATTCCAGCTCCAAACACATTTCACATCTGGCTTGGATAATAAAGGAATATGCCTTGCAGTTTGGATCAGTGATGGAGAAGTGCAAGTACTAGACAACTTATTTTTTTTCAGTCTTTGACCATTTTTAACTAAAGTGGTTACCAAAGCATTTGATACTGATTTTTTTTTTTTTTTAACAGAAACAAATGGAAAAGGTAAACTAGACTACAGAAGAACTCTGCTGAAAACATATGTAGCACTTCCCAGTATCATATTCTACCTTACTGAACATCCAGACCTAGTGACATCCAGAATTAGCTGCATGTATTGGAACTCCTAAAACAAAAAAAGCTGATGACTGGATTAATGATTCAGTTTTCCAGTGACAATCAGATTATTTTTCCATTAGTAAGAGGAACTCTCATTAAATTATTTTGTTCAGCATAGGCTATGTTTTTCTTGTATGTCTTTTGCTAAGATCACTCTAGCAGCCAACGTCTTTACAGTTCAATTCAAAACACTCTTTTAGGTTCACATTTGAGAATTTGACTTCAATCTGATTATACACATATATCTGCACCTATTGTTATGTGACACTACTATTAACAAGAGGATTTTGTGTGACTATAGCTGAGATGCTGCATAAGAACTGGCCCTACCTGCTGCAGTCATGAGTCAGCAATCTGAAGGTACTGGAGTACAGTGCTTCCACGTATGAACTCATAAACACTGACATGTAAATAAATAGCTTTAAACTCACAGGTATGTGCCCCTTCAATTCAGTCTGACTTCTGCATCACTGATAAAGATATCGAAATTTGGAAATACTCATTGTCTTACTTGTGAAATAAATGAGCTTGAAATTTTCCTTATGTCAACTCAGAACTGGGGAGTGGCCAAATTGTACATAAATGAAGGGAACAAAATTTTCTTTCTTCCTGCTGTCAAATTTTTGTTTCTTGTTTGTTTTGGATTGGCAGTTGTGGAACATTGAAACCAGAAAGAGGTCGAGAAATATGTTTGGCCACCTGTCTGTAATTGGAGCTGGAATCATTGTGTTCTGAGCAGGTGAGTAGTAAAGTTTATTCCCAGAAAGAGCCTTGTTGCATTTACTCAGGCAAATGACCCATACATTTTAGCTGATTTTCTTGGCTTTGTTCAAATGTGATTTACCTCTTCCCCCACCTCTCACCCACATCAGAAATCATTAGTAGATTTATTGTATGACAGGAAAGCAGCCAAAGAAGATTTAACCTGCTTCTGGAGTCTCTGTTTCTTACTCTGCTTCCAAAAAACTGTCACCACTTGTAGAATTTCACTATGCCTTGGAGACTGTGACTGGTTTTGTGCAAAGCCTGAGCATGAAATAATTTTGTTTTCAATGGGTCTGAATTTTAGATATAATGGTCTGTCCTGTGCTGGGGAGCAGTATGTAATTTCGATGGCCCCACCACTGATATGAAGACAGCATCTGTCTTTCCAAATGCACAGCAAAGCTCCTAAATGCTGTTAGGAGTTGCACACCTCTCTAGCTGTGTATCTGTAAGGAAAGGCCAAGTCATTGCTGTCTACAACACAAGAAGGGAGGGATTGGTTGACCTTTGCATTGTCAAGGCTGTATTTTTTAGCAGCAGGTGAATATTTTGCATTTAGAGATCATTTCAGTGTGTGGGCTCAGATGACAAAGATCAGATGTACTCTTGTGGGTTTTTTTTCATCCCACTTTCTGTTTCAGATCTTTGACTCACACATGAAGGGGTTGAGGAGAGACTTGTGCGTGATGAATGCTTCTGTGATTTTAAAATCATATGTTAGTGTTCTGTTTTACTTAAATGGAAAGATAATAGCAAGGGTAGGCTGACTTTATTAACTCACAATGAAACTGGTATCTCTTGATAACAGCAGCAGTGGTAGTTTTATTTTTGGCTTCACAAGATGCTCTGGTTGTGATTATATGAGGTCTGCAAGGTGGAGGTACAAAGAGGTACAGGCACACCAGCTGAACAAACAGTTAATAAACTGCATTTGCAACTGTACTGTGTGGGTTAGCTTACAAGGATGCAGGTGTAACATCCTGCCAGTGCCAAGTGGCATAACCTCACTGCAGTAAGAAATAGTTTTGGTTCACATTTCCTCTTGGCCAAAGCAGTGAAAAAAACAGGAACTTCAGAGTTGAAGTTGATGATAAAATTCAGCATGAACCTGTGAACTACAGTTATGGTTGACACATTAAGTTTAGGTAACATTGATTTCTTTTTCTAGGTTTGAAGTTAACCAGATAATTCTAATATTAGGGCAGAGTTAAGATAACTGCATGAGGAGAAAAAAAAAATACATGGAGTTAATATTAATTGTTACTAAAATTAGAGCAGCATTCTTACACTAAATTTCGCTGTGGAAGTTTCCAAAATATCAATTGACTTTGGGATTACATTGTAATTGTTGTGGTTAAAAATAGTCCAACAGCACATCATCATGGATCTGTAAATAAATTTCAGTACCATAAAGTCCATTATACAAGCACAACACAGTTACATTTCTTGCAGTAATTCAGGTTTGTGTGTGCATTTTTAGTGCTTCCAAGTAATTCAACATGTATCTGAAAAATCTTTAAGAGCCGTTGTGGGAAAGTCTCCTGTTACTAACCCTTACTAATATAATTAAAATCCTCAAATAAATCTGTTGCAATTAATGCCAGATACCTGTTTCTCAGATACCCAGAAGGACTGTATTGAACTTGCTGATTTTATTTCAGTGTCATACTAGTTTTAAGTGTGAATTTCAGCAGGAATCTCTTCTGATTTCTCATAGGATTAATGTCAGTAATATCCATAAAAATTGGTAAAATGTATTGCAAGGTATTTTTGGTATTTTCAGTCCAACTCCCATATTAATGTGCAAAAGCCATATCCAGGAGCTAAACTTTAACAGTGGCAGTGCTTCCAGGCAGGGTATTCCTTCCTGCCTTTGATGGTCTGATACTGGAACAGTGCATCAGACTGATGGTATTGTAGAGCAGTGAACCCATTTCCTAGCAAGCTGCTGGTGCAGCAGTGTCAAGCTGCACAGATATTCCTAGAGCCTTGGAGTGGGAGGGAGAAACAAGGCAAGGGAAGGGACAGAACCAAAGAATACATGGTAACTTGCCAGAAAGCCCTTTAGCAGTACAATGTAGTTTTAGACTGCCTCTCTGCTGGGCATGGAGTCATACCTGGCTTTGGCAAAAATCACCTTGTTGAAGGACTTTTCATGAAGAGCAGGAAATAGTTTACATTAAATGGCTCAGCAGTTGAACAGAGTGTAGATTAGTGGCATAGACTGTGCTCATGGAAAAGAAACTTGAGAGACAGCAGGAATTCTGTCCAGCTGAAATGGCACAGCTGCTTGGCTCCTTCCTGCTGTCAGTCACCTCTGCAGTCAGGGTGTGCTTTGATACTTGTCCTGTGTTTCCTCTCACTGAAATGCTGTTGTTCTGCTGACTCGTTTCACTCTGATGTGGTTTGCTTCTGAAGAAACATTGGTGTGATGAAGTTGCTTTTCATGCTCCATTAACATTAAACCCATGCTGTCTTTTCTCATCTGCGGTGGCTTGCTACTAGGATTTGTCCACCACCGTGATGTTCAGGCTGCTCAACACCATGTTGGGATTCTTTGTCAAAACAAACAAAACATTTGCAGCCTGAAATTGTCACAAATGTTGCTGGCATTTTGGTCTAGAGGTCGTATATTGAATATTTGGCCTAGCAACCCTGGGGTGAAATTGCAGTCACAGACACTGAAAATCATACTTCCCTTCTTAGCAGTTAAGGTATATGAGAACGCATATTGCCCAGGCAATTTTTCAAATTATCTTACTGATGTCTATTGATTTCTTCTGTCTGTGATGTCATTAATTTTAAAACCAGTTCTCTTCAGAGATAAGCTTGGTAGGGTTTTGATATACTGGATTAGTAGGCCTTTGTAAATATATTGTCAAACAGAAATGTTTATCACATTTTCTTCTATCTATATACCTTCACAGAAAAGTTTGGTGGTGTAATACTTACAAGTTTACAAACAAGATATTTTGATTTTTGGAGTTTTGGAAAACTACTTTTGTTGTAATTAATTTGATGTATGATGTTCTTTTTGCCCTCCTGACCATATTTTCATGCCATTGTTGGTGATAAATAATCTGAAGAAGGAAATTTTAAATGAAGTGATTTAAGATTCTTTATGCAGTCCCTGTCTGTGTGGGAGATAGGTCAGGTAATAGTAATAAGAGGCAGGAGAGACCAGTATTTGCAAGCTGTTGGTTCTCCCAAAAGTATCTGAGGCTGGACTTTAGTGCTGGGGTTAGAGGGCTGGAGAAATTTATCGAAACATGTGGAATTGAGCTCTGAGAAGCTTTTCTTCAGGTAGATTCTGGGCCTTAGGCATATCCTGGAAAAACCCTGGGAGAAACCAAGTCTCTTGTAAACCCTGTAGGCCACTTTGCTTAGACTTCAGTGATGGCTTGGCTTAGGCAGTAAGACTCTATCCTGCTCGGTTCTTCTGGTACTGACGTGTGAGTCCGTGGCCTCTGAAAGGCAAGCAGAGACGCTGGAGTTTATGAGGGTATGTAGGACAGTACAGGCTGTGAAACAAGGGCCAGGGAAGCAGCATTTGGAGTTGTGGGATTCTATACTGCCCTGAGTGTACATTCTGGGTGCTTGTTGTAGTTCATTTTAATAGCTAGACTCCAAGCTAAAATGTCTCTGTTCTTCCATTTGACCTCCTAATCTATTCTGGCATCTGTTTTCTTTTTATTTTTTAGGCCATGACCTGGTGTCCTTGGCAGTCAAAAGTCCTTGCTACAGGAGGTGGAATGAAAGATGGGATTTGTGTGTCTGGCCCATGAATTGTGAGAAAATCATCCAAAGTGCAATTACAGATTCACAGGTGAAATGATGAAATGATGAAATGTCTGCATACTTAGGCTATGCTCTTTTTGTATAGCTGTGCTCATTTGGCAAATTCCCACTGACTTTGAGGCTCACTCTCCTGCAGTGAGAGGAACAGTAGGATTTTCTCTGGATGTGCAATTGTGCTGTGTTCAGCACCATCGTGTGTGATTGACTCAGAAGCAGTTTGTTGTTTCTCCTTCACCACTTCTGTCTCCATGCAGAAGTGATTGAAGAGGAGATAGTCTTGAAGCCAGACACTTTTCATCATCTTTCCTTGCTGGCAATAATAGCTTTGGCCAAAATTCTAAATGCAGAGAGAATGCTGAAAGGGAAGAAAAATTCCCAGAGCATTGGGGTGAGGAGAGGTGTAGGAGTCAGAGAGAAAACATCTGTTTCTGGAGTTTGAATATTAGGAGACAGAGGAACAGGTTCTCAGCTGTAGTAAAGCAGCATAACTTGGTTTGCTGGAGCTACTACAACCTAGATGAGGATGTGTTTTGAGGTTTTTTTTAAACTAATAGGTTGTTACCATGTTTAGATAGGACAATGAAACAACCATATTTTAAAGACTTGAAAACAATTAAATAGCCCTTCTAAATAAATAAATACTCTGCAATTTCAAATCTCTGAATGATATATGTTAAGCCCTTCTGTAAATTAAAGCAGAATTTTATATTGCATTAGATTTCTTTCTTGCTCTGGTTTACCCAGTGAACTGACAATGGGAAAGGCCTTCCTGGAAATCAGATGAAAATATGGAAGTATCCCATGCTTGTCAATTCATTAGAACTCTAATGCACAATCCTGATTTGTGGGCTTGTAAAGGCTGACTTAATAAGACTGTGGCATAAATTATTTCTGGGAAATTCCTTGTTTTTAATGCTGGGATTCTTTTCCATAATTCCTAAGGCTGTGCCAGGTGCAGGATGTGTATTTCCACTTCTTTCTAAGGCTGACTAGGCCAGGGTTGAATGTGTTAATGTCAGGTGGCTTCCAGTGTCTTCTGGCTGATGACCTTCTGGACAACACAAACCAAATGTGATTGCTTTTGCATCTCGTGATATAAGCATACTGAACCAGCTTTCAGATGACGTCCAAACCACATCTCCATGTGTTATTTAGACACGTCTGTGTTTTGATGAAGGATTTTGCTGTGAAGAAATGTGGTGCAGAGTGTTTCCCTTGCACCCTGCCAGAGAAAGTAGGGTTTCCTTATAGCTCTGTATAGTTCTGTGGTGCCGTAGGGCTACACCATATGCAGAGGTTGTTTCTTGCTATTAAGCCTCCTTATCTCTGGTGTTATTCATGAACAGAAAAGACCAGATCTTTGCTACACAGACATCTTCCTGCTTATGAAGACTCCTAATAACTTACTGTAAGAAGTTAAATATTGGAAAAAATTGTGGATGAATCAAAATATGACCAGAATAAATGCTGTGATGGATGATTGCGACTTAGATGGTTCTAAGTCAGCTTCAGACACTTTTAACCACATATGTTTTACACCCACAGAAATGATCTGACAAACTGCAACTGAATTTAATTTCATAAGTATCTTGCAAACGCTGAAGACCCCAGCTAAGAATGAAGACCTATCAGCAGGAGTTGAGCACTTTAATAATTAAGGTTGACTGTCACTGAGCATATTCAGAACAGAATGACAACTGAAAGATAGTAACCTTTTTATAGAACTGGATAAGTTTTTGAGATGCTTCTGACTGAACTATTAGAGTAATTTACTAGAAAAGAAAAAAAGAAAAGGAGTAATTTTGGATATAACCTCCACTCATTAGGAAAGTTGTTGTAGATCAATGAGAACATACAGGCAAGCAAATTATGTAATTGCTTTGAAAATTTTACCTGACCTGAGCATGGTATTGAAACCATTAAATAAACCCAGAAAACAACACTCCAAACCCATGCAAATGAATAATTTCAACTTGTCTGATTTCTCCCTATTGCCCTCCAGTGCTTTTTGGCTTAAACTGTAATCAAATTTCAATCAGTGTTGTGGGTAGTTTTGGGTGCCTCCAAAGATTACAACTCAACATCCTCCTTCAAAGTCATTACAGACACTGAACAGACACAGCATAAAGAATTCACTGAGTAGTAAAATCTCAATCCTAAGTATGGAAAAGATTCTGTATATTTCAATCACTTAAGAAGGAGCAAAGCTAGAAAATTGATCTGCTGAAATAATTTACTGGTGTTGAAATTCAAGTAAAAAAAGTTTAGCAGGAACTTATGTAGCTCAGCACCAGGACAGCAGGCATTTGCATTTAGTCATAGTGTTTCTAGAGAGCCACTGTATCAGCTTCACAATTTAAGGGCAGACTTTGCATTGGCAACAGTCCTGTGGGCCTCCATCAGGCACCACAGGGCTGTACAGTTCCTCACATGTTTATCCTTGTAGTATCTTCAGCTAGAGGAGTGCCATTCTCTTGTGTTCATGGAGAATTCAGGTACAAGTGATGGGAGGACACAGGTCACTCACATTCTTTTTAGTTGGACACACATGACTTCTTACTTTCATGCTTCCTTTTAGGATGTGGTTTATCTGATCTGCTTTAGAAACTATTACTCATAAGATTTTTTCTCTTGGGGGTTTAGCTTACCAGTGTGATTTTCAGTAACTCACCCAGCCAGAAAAGACAAAGTCCAGTAACTTCAAGCAAAAAAGCTTCCAGTTTCTCTTGCTGCCATGTGCCTGAAAACCTCACATGTTTTCCTGGCATTGGCATAGCTCTAGAAGATACAGGAAGTCTATGGCAGAGCAATGAGGTAAATGCAACTCTCAAGAGTCCCAATTTAGTTTCAGACTCTTTCTACCTTCAGTTCAAGTTTGGTGGCTGCTTGTGGGTGAGATTTTTATATAAGCACGTTAATGAGTTTAGTACATTCTTTGTGCAGCTGGACTGGGTAGCTTTCTGCTTTCCTCGTGTAGCTCCCAAGATTTACTACAACTGCAGACAAACTCAAAACACAATTCCACTAAATGGCTTAGTGGAGTCACTGTTAAAAGATCTCTTTAGCAGTAATAACTGAGCAGCTGGAGACAGTATCTCATTATTGTTGGATCAGCTGCTGCAAACTGTCTGCAAGGCCTGTGCAGCCAGATGGGAAAGTTCAGCAGAGACAGACATTACCAAACACAGATGAGACTGATGTTGTGAATGCATGGAGAACAATAGTTCAGGTTCAATGTGTTCCTTTGGCAGAAATGTCTCCTCAAAGTGGTGCAGACAGTTAAAGCCTACTCCCTATTAAGAATATATTTCCTTCAGCTCCTTATTTATATGAAAACAATAGAGGATGATAGCTTCCCACATCCTATGCAGCACATTTGCTGCAGTAAAGTGGAACAAGCCATAGTGTGGGTGGTGAAAATGACTGGCATAATCAGTGTAGAATTCTGATGTATCTTTCCTTTTCTTTTGTACATGTTTTATTTTCTAGGTCACAAAGGGATAATCTTGCATATAACCCTGAGCTCAGATCAGAGTAGGTTCATTTTTGTTGCAGTGGATGGGATGTCTTGTCTGTAAAAACAACGTGGGTCTGGGGAGAGCATGCACAGGAACAAAGCTTTTTAATAACAGTTATTTGACCTCATTCCTGTGACTTTTTTTCTTGAAAGCCAGTGATTAATGTATTCAGCCCATTCAATAATTCAAAATATGTGTCTTCCTTCCAATAAAAACATGGCAAAGGACAGTACAATTTATTTAAAAGAACGAATTTTCTTATCAGTCTGTTATGTGAAATCTTAGTAGCCTGTCTTACCCTAAAGGAAAAATATCCTAACTCTGAAGAATAATGTAATGTATATTTCAATTATGTTAGCAAACATGGAAGGAATCCAACCTGTGTAAAACACCACCATAAAATGTTAGGTCCTACTTTTATCTAGAATTCTAGCAATAAATTTTACATTACCTTATCATCCCCATTGGTAACCACATATTAATTAATGTATTTTGCCTGGAATATTTCAAAGACTATAGTGAGCAGAGACCAATCAAAGTGTCTGCCTTGTTCTGTGTATCACATAAATTGTTGTATGGAATCTGTCTAAATACTCCTAGAGTTCTAGGTTAAATATATAATTAAATAGAAATGATTTACAGGGAATTATTTGTTGTTTTCATAATGGTAATGATAACTAGCATAATTAGGAAAATGCCTTAACCGATTTTTAATGGCTTCCTTTCCTTGAACCCACCAAATATATTTGACAGTGATTTAAATTACAAAAAAATTGCATAATAATTCTATTATTATGCATTGTTATGTAATAATCTAATTAAGAATTCAGATGGGCATAGTCAAAGGAACATGCTATTTGGGCCAAACACAACAATTAGTTCATTTCTTAAGGGTACCAGTTCAGTTCTGGTTGCCAGCAAACAGTGCAGCTGTCACTGTATTGTGAATTTTATTTAGTGCTCACAAGGAATAAAACCCTTGGACTTTAACATATGTTTGCCTTGCAAGACTTGTAGGGTGCCAACAGCTAAGTAAGGCTGTCAGGACTGGGCCTCAGAAGCTGTTCAGATACAGAGCAGTAGTGATATTCATTGTGTTCTGCCTACAAACACCTTTGGAGCTTTGTTGTCATTGTTAGGAAAGATCACAGGCAAGGGGTAAGGGTTCATTCCTGCATTTTTATATTAAAAGCTTCCTGAGCTCAGAAACTTTTATTGTTTGGATTCCTTTCTTTTATCATTTTTTCACAACTGATAGTTTATTTAGAATGCTTCCTGTAGCTGGGAAAGATTAGGATATTAGGGGACCAGAGCAGCGCCAGTCTGTGGAAAATTACATTGTGGACAAATGCAGGAGAAGAGATAAACATGGGCACAAGTTATCTCTGTAAATGAACGTGAAACCATCATGTCTTTAGTTCTCATGATTTTTAAAACCTCATCTTGTGCTGCTCACAAGTTATGTGGTCGCTAAATTTAACTCTGGAAGGTTGAGACCACTCATCTCTTTTACCTAGTAAGAGATTGCAATAAACCTCCTACTCAGCTACTGGGCTCTCATGTCATCTCATGTGGTCTTTAAAGCAGACTAGAAAATGCTAATAGTGGTTGTCAATTGAGAAATAGCTACCAAGAAGCTGATGTCTAAGTGTGGGAAATAGCTTATATTGTGTCTATCTTCTAATATGAACAAGTTTGTTTCTGGAGATTTTATCAGACAATTAGAATCTGATTTAAATACTCAAAATGGTATTTTAAGTAATTTAAAAGGTTTTAGGAATATTAAAAATATTTCCCCCCATTTTGAATGTTAAAAGAATGAGTAGAATTAGTCTCTTGCTCATGCACTTTTTTATTTGCCCAGAAATTCTCTCTTTCCTTTGGCAGCACCTAAATGACATTTATATGATATGATATTTGATATTTATATAATTTATATCCAGTATAGTAGGAGATGCATGACACAAGATAAGAAGCTGTAGCATGGAAGGACCTGTCTAATACTGAAACCATGCACATTTGGCTGGATGCTGAAGTGTCAAAATAAGAAAGCACACGTTTCTCAGCCTAAGAACTTCTCATATTTTGGTTACTTACTGCTCATTGTTGACTAGTCAAGCTGTATTGCCCCAGATGTATTTAAGCACAATATCTAAAAGTGGGAGAAGCTACTGATTTCAAAAGTCCATAACTATGAGAGGACCTTGTTTGTGTGACCTGTAGATCCATTACATGACCATGTCTGAGAAGACATCTAAGTGTGCATTCCAGACTGTAACTAATTTGAAGTGAAATTAAATGTATACTGTAGTGCTTTTTTTCTGAATGTACAGAGTGTGAAGCTGCTGAAAGTTGACCATGTTCTTGCACAGCTGCCTCATTCTGCCAGTGCAGAGGTCTTAACTTACAAAGTCTTGGTCAAAATGTGAAATCCTGAATTCCTCCCTGTAGAATATGGCATTCTTTTAGCTCATTGACAGTTACATGCCTGGTATGTTGCTCAGGCCCACGATGAGAAAGAAATCAGAAGTAATTTCCAAGAAGTCAACTTGTTCTTTGTTTATGGTCTGTATGCACTGAAAACTGAATCTCCAGGGATGGCACAGAGGTTTAAGAAAAATTAGGTTGACTAAAATCAGATCTTCATCCCTACAATCCTGTCCAAGTGGAGCAATGTACAACATATAGAATCCAAAAATAATTTTTGCCTGAAGAAAAACTTCATTGCTCATACAGTACATGTGTCTTTCTTCTCTGATATATTAATATGACAAAACAATTGTCTGGAATATAACGACTGAGGAATCCATTTGTTCCCACACTTAAAAGCACTAAGTCTAGCAGACATGCCCTGTTCTGCCCCTACATGATCTGACTTGAGGCTACCTGTGTATATGTTATGTTACATGAATTTGTGTGATGCAGTTTATACCTGTTACTTCCCTCGAATTACCTCATATAGGCAGACTGAGAAGCAAACAATGACATCAAATTATCATAGCATTTTTCTTAGCTAGTGTGGGTTCTGTTCCATAGTGAACAGAAGCATAGGTGAAACTCTACGGTGAATGGGCTCATATCGTGCCTCTTGAGCAGAGAGCTCCCCATCTAGAGGAAAACGCAGTTCTCTCTTGCTCTTGCTGCTTCTTTTTTCTATAGGTTTATGCTACTGGCAGTAGTGACAGAGGCTGAAATTTTGTTTTTACCATGTAAGTCCAAACTCTACAGGCTTTTGCACAAATCACTAAAAATATCTATGTAAAAAAAAGCCCCATTTTAAAAGTATTTTGGGATAGGTCCTAAATTTCAAGGTGGAAGAGGAAGGCTGCACATGTGTCTGTAGCACATTTGTTCATGGATTAAAAACTTCTCCTTGGTCAGAACCTGTCCTTCCTGATCTCCAAGGTTCTCCAACACTTGGTTCAGAACCACCATCTGGAAAATGGAGAAATACTGAATTACAGGGCTTGAGAGGGATTTCCCACTGACAAGGGTGCTGTTTGTGACTTTTGGGGAAAAAGAAAAATCATACCGAAAAGGAAGCAGAATGAAGACATAATGCAACAGCAAGATGAAAGAAAGGCAGTGAATACAAGAGCAAAGAAATGAAATAAGACTAATGTATGGGAAGAGTGAAACAGTCCTAGGTGGGCTACAGATTGATAAGGACATTTTTGTTTCCTGAAGGTTTTTAGAATATTTGCCTAAGCAGGGGTTAGGTAGTTTGCAAGAATAAAAAAAGACTGAATTTTCTTATTTCCTGTGTGTTTAAACACAGATTCAAGTCATTGCTTTGGGTGTTGGCAGCAGTCAGTGGGTCAAATTCTCCTCTCAGTTTCACTGATGCAAGCTTATTTGTCTGAGAATATTTTTCTCTGCTTCTGCTTTGTTTTTGTGTTTGTGCATCCCCCCTTTGGGTGTACATATTGTATGTTCAGATCAAGAGTGAAAAAAACCATTTATGAATAAGAATAGGCACGTGGAAAGTTCTGACTGTGTAATGTTTTGTAACAAAGGGAAAAAAAGATGTTTTTCATAATCAAAATTTCCAGTAGAGATCCCTGTAGTTTAGGCTTTCTTTGTCTTCACCCTTCCTTACTTCTCTGTGAGAAAACTACTGTCTCTTCGTAATGAGATCAGGTAAATGCAGTTGTGTAAAAAAGTTCCAGTTTGTGCTTTCTCATTGTATTTTTAAGTAGTGCTTAATTGTTTAGGATGGATGGTGCAATAATTTTAAAATTAAAATCATGCAAAATATCGCCACCCTTGAATGTTCCCTGCTTTCTCTTAGCTAATGTCTACCTTCAAATAAAAACCTCTTGAAGCAACACAAAATAAATCCAAGCCCTTCTTGAGGTGCTCATGGCATTGAAAATGCTCAAGTCTGTTAATACAGAAGCAGGCAGAAGCATTTTTCACAAGAGGTCTATTTTCTACTTGAAAAATGCTTGATGAAGCATTTAAAAATTTGACTGTATGTCTGAAACAGCAGTACTGGCATCATAAGATTAAGAGTGCTTTATATTATCAACAGTGCTGTACCATATTGATATGGTCATGTCATTTCTCTGAAGCATGGGTTTTCAGAAGATTTTTTAAACACAATGCTGCTTATTTTGGTATGTTTTGCAAACATTTAACACGCACGGAACATTACACAGATAGTAAACAGATCCTACAGATAGTACATAGACTACCTATGCTGCAAGAGACAGAGCTTTCCACATAAATTGATAGCTGAAAGCAGTAGATTTTTATTGCCATTGCTTTATTAAATGCAAAGTACATAAACTGATAAAATCTAGAGGTTCCAAATACAACACAGTTAGAAAATTAAAACCTATGTCCCACAGTTGCTGCAATTTAATTTTCTGAAGCTTTACAATCCGCTACACCAATAAAACCAAGAGCTTTGCTGCAGAGAAAAGAAGTTTTTTTAGGCGTCTGTACCTGTACCTAGCACACCACTAACTTTCAGGGTTTTTGCAGAAGTCCAGGTACAAAAGAGTGCTATATACTCGACAAGGAGTGAGGACCCAAACAAGGATTAGGTTAGTGGTTTGAAATACCAGTCCGTGTAGAACTCAGTGTGAACATGCACTACAGGGACGTTGGAATCCTCAGTCCCAAATACCCCCAATGACTCCATGGCTGACAGTATAAGCTATAAATGCTGTCGTAGCAGAACTACATCAAGCTGCCAAAATTCAGTGTGAGAATACCTCTTTTACCAGACTAGTGAAGCTGTTTTTAAAAGCCCATTTCATGTCACAAATCATGTGGCCCAAACCGAATCCATTAGGCCCCCCCTATGGTTTTCCTTATCCACTCAAGGTGTCGCTTTGTGAGTCGGGTGTAGACACCGGGGCCACCAGCGTCGCCACATTTCTTCTGCTTCCCAAATGAAGTGATGCCTTTCATAATATTATTACATCTTAAAGGTCCGCCAGAGTCCCCCTAGAAAAAGGGAAAATATAGTCATTCAAATCAACAAAAGCTAAAAAATGTTTCCTTTAAATAAAATTTCCACTAGTTAGATGGAGAGAATAAAAATGTAGCCAGTGTTATTAAGGATCATTTTTTCCTCCTTGGAAATTAGGATTTCCAACAGTAAAACAAATTAAAGAAAAGGTTTCAAAAAAAAAAGGCTTCATAGAATTCAATCTAATTTTTCAAGTGTGTGTAATGGGGAATAAATCTAACTCAGTGCTAAGGAAGAATTAGTCTCTTTGAAAATGAAGAAATAAGCTGAAAACTTTCCTCATGGAAAGCGTAAGTCTCCAGAAATTGATACCTTTTTAAATGCAATATTTAAGTCTTTTAAAACGTGGTAGTTTTTACGCAGTTGTGTACTTGACTTGGGAGCCAGTTAAAAGGCTTTTTATCAGCAAAACCTATTTCAAGAATTCTGACATCAAATAAGTAGTTCCACTGAGATCAGCTGCTTGCGAATGGGCCTGTAAGATGTTTTGTGGACATTTCAGTATTAAACTGATGGTATTGAAGATGAGGATGGCTGTCTGCCATGCCTGGATACAACTGCAATATTGAAAGGCTGTGAAGGTGAATTTACTCATCTTAAGTTCTGATTTTAAGGCTTAGAAGAACAAGCCTTGGTAAAATCACTGATATTTGATGAAACTCTTTATTGAGAGATTGTAAATGTATGATGCTGGTACATTATATTTTATTTTCATTATACAATTTAGGCAGTCATAGTAAATATACTTACATTACACGAATCCTTTTTTCCATTCTTAGCCCCTGCACATATCATGTTCTCTGTTATGACAGGTTTGCCGTTATAATGATTTTTATCGTTGCATATTTCCCTCCTGATGACAGTGATATTGACTTCCATCAGGGCAGTAGGGAACTTGCCCGGATGATTGGTAGTTACACCCCATCCTGCTACTGTGCAAACTGTTCCTGGTCTGGGATCATCATCTGAAGGAGGCAGGGGGATTGGTTGCACAGCTTTATTAAATTTTGCTCTTCCCCGAAGCTGTAGAAGATATGGAAAATAAGTATTATGGCACAGTCTAACAGAGGTCCTTGCATATTAACCATTAGATCTTTCCCATTATGGTAATTAATGCAATCCCTTTCTGAGATTCCTCAGTTCTTTGTGACAGTAGTTATGTCATCAATGTAAGAACGGGAAAATGAGTATTCTTTGTCTCATGAGAACCCACTTACCTTCTGCTGATCTATTAGCTCTAAAAAACATCTTATTTTACTTCTCTGGCTCTCAGACCATTTAGAAGACAAAATAACAGTAATTACTGATGCTGGCAAAATTGAGGATCAGAAAAGCCAGACATTTTTAATTAGAACTCCTTTTCAGACAGAATGTTAGTGCTTTTAACCATGTATTTTTATTCCTCTATGGAAAAGCCAGAAACAGAAATATCTTGATCAAGCTCCAGAGTTTGTATACTAGCCGTGGCAACCATTACAGGAATTGTTGATTGCCTTGGTTACCAGTGCATCCCCAGTTCCCCCGGCTGCTGGATTAGCAGACCAGACTATATCACCCCAGAAAAAACAGCCACCAGAAACTCCCTTGGCTCATCTCCCTAGATGACAAGAAGGAAGAAAATAGTTCAGTGTAGTGTGTATATTCCACAAGTGATATATAAGTCTGTACCTGAAGCAGCATAATGTCATTTTCCTTGGTACTGGGGTCGTAGCATGGATAAGGAATGCCTTTTGCAATCTGAAAAGCTTGCTGTTCTTTTTCTCTTTTTTTTGATGAATGGGCTCCAAGAATAACTTTGCTTTTTCCCCTGAGGAGAGGACCACATAGTTATTGGGATTCACTTTGATGTAACCCTAAATTTTTTGTTGGTTAATGTGGTGCTATAATGACCAGCTACTACAGTGTATTTTCCTGTGCCTGAAAAGCAACAGTAATTTAAAAATATCTGAAAGATGACCCCTTGTTCATACAACAGCTAAAAGAAAAATATGATTCAGTGAATCAAATTCATACTATCTTATTTTCATCTTCCCAGGAGCACAGAAAGGTTTCAGGTACTTGACTCTGGATCCACCCCCATTGTTTCCTTTTGGGAACTGAATGAGTGGTGGATGCACAAGATTTGCTGTGGCTACTTGTCTCACCAACTGTGTCCTGTAATTTATGCTGAAAATTTAAGAAAATAGGCCACAACACTGTTAGTTCAGAGATATCCTGATTGTATTGAAATGTACTATTGCTTGACTCTAACAGACTTCAACACCATTTTCTGAATCTGTGTGATGCACAACTCATTCCTCTTTTCAAGGTTTTTCTGCAACTTTCTATACTTCCAAGATATATACTTCCTCAGGTGGTGGCAGAGTTGTGCCTGCTGTGGCTCTCTGACAGAGAGCAGAAGTCTAGCACTCCTTGGCCAAACAGGTCAAGCAGAGATTACTAACTGACCACAGGTACAGCTGGTTTTGGGCAAGCAACGCATCCTACAGCTGAATGGGAGAATATTCCAGGAGATGTGCATGTTGGCGCTCATTCATGTTTTATTGTGGAAAATGCAACCCTGGGAAAGCGTTTGTTCCTTTTCTTCATCTATTGAGAGCTGTCTGTTGACTGAGCCATCATTAAGTTAATAACTGATTGCATTTTCTCTTAAATGGCATCTCCTTTGGAAACATTCTTTACTTTTTGTTAATACACAGCTTTTGGGCCCAGTGGTCTCTTTACAGTAGGTCCCACAGATCTCCCTGTCTGGACAAGGACAGAGATGGAGGGGAGATGGATACATTTCCCTGATGTTTGCGGGGTCCAGTGGCTCACTGGTCTTGGTCAGGCTGTTGACAGAGCCTGAGTGAGGTCTGGCTCAGCAGCAGCTTCAGTCCTCCCCACAAGAGCAAGTAGGGATGGGATGTGCAATTCAAAACTCACTTCTTGCCTTGCTGAAGGACTCAGTAGAGCCAAATATCCATTTGCATCTTGATTTGGGTAGGAGAAGAAAGATGGCTGGCAAGCCAACATACCAAGGCAGAGATCTCTCACCATCTCCTGCCATCTGTTTGGAGGATTTTTGCTCCTGTGTTAACCACATGCTGTCTTTTCTGCAGTGAATTGCGTATCTCTTATAGAACAAAATTACAAGAATTTATTTTTGTTCTCAGAGCAGCAGTTTAGACTGGACACTCCTCTCATCTAGTGTACAGGTTGACTGAGAAAACAGGGATAAAACTTCCCCCCAAATTCACTGCTTCAATGTTGCTATTCTATGCTAATGTGCAGCTAGAAGTTTTTAAATATCTCTTCAGAAACAGTGGAGACCAGTATACTTTGTTATATTTTTAGACTCACTATAACAAATTTGCTGATAGAATCTATAAAGCACAGTAATCAGAACATGATCATGGTCATGATAAATGGATAAAATTATCAGAGATAGTAACTCTCCTTCTTGAACAGATATTGGAGACTCACTAAGGACAATCTCTGAATAAGAGTAAGAACTTACACTTTACAATGTGCAGCTGTTAACACCCAGTTTTCCTTAATTAAAGCTCCTCCACAAATAATTCCTCCTGGTCCCTTGATTTGGGCCATGAATGGTCTCGAGTGTGGCTGTACTTCATTTCCTCCAATGATATCCACGCACAATCCTAAAAAAAGTAAACCACAAGACACACAGCTGAGCTGACAAATACTGTCAGACACTCCAAGTCTCTTAGAAAACATGGCAGTTGTAATTAGAAAGGATACAGACACACAAGTATGCACATATGTCACAATGATGGTCTTCAGGGTAGAATTTTAAAACTGCACAGCAGAATTACTTCATTACATTTCAATAATACTGAAATAAGATCAGTGGGGTACCCCACACCAAAGTTTTGTTGCTTCTGCTCAGATTTCTTTTCTTGAAGATTACTGATATGGTTAATTTCTTAGCTTGCATTGCGAGTAACAGTCTCCCATATCTCCCATATCTTAAATATTGTGCATGGAAACCAGACTATATAGTAGAAGCCACATTATGATAATCTGTTTTCCAGAAAAAGAGAAAACCAAGCAGTTAAGGTATGTGTATGGCTCTGGAGAGAAAGATGAGATAATCATTATGTTCTCTACTCAGAACTCCTCCAAACAGCTCGGACTTTGCAGCTTTCCTTCAGACCCATTCAGAAATTATTTTGTTTGTGTGAAAGATCAAACACATGCAGACAGTGGAGAGGAACTAATTATAAGAATACAAATAATAATTGTGACTACTTCCTTTACATTAATACATGTTAGCTTAACTAGAATTCTGTACATCAGGACTTACTTTCAAAAGTATTAAATTACATACTTACCTCCATGAATTATAAGGAGAATGACAGCAGTGAAGGTGTACCAAGGGAGGAAAGCACCCATGATTTCTGTCTGATGTTCCTTCTTATTCACTCTTGAATATATCTCTATCTACCAATCTATCAATATATATGCATAAATGAAGAGGATGTGGACTTTGTTTTTTCTCTTAAGGGGTTAACCACAACAAGGAGAGAAACCCTCCCCAGCAATGTACCTTAGAGCAGAAGTGTTACCGAGAATTTGCATCATCTGCTGTGGTGTGAAGACAGGCTCTACCCCACTTTGTGTTCTCTCTGCAGCATTTGCAGAGAACTGATGTATGAGTATAGGGGTGAAACACAGTGGGACTCAGATCACATAAATTTAGGCTGATTCAGTTGTCCATGTGAAGTTGTATAGTTTCATTCTAGACACCTCAGGTGGCTTCCAGGTCAGACATGAATTCCAGTCCATTCCTCTTTAATGAAATATCTTTTCTGCTCAGGAGACCCTCAGGGCCAAGGAATCTGATGTTTTCTCATTTCAGGATCTGATGCTGTCTCATTAGGTTTGCACTGGCTGAGCATTCATAAAGCACTGAGTGTGGTTTCATGGCCGAGAGCTAAGGGTATGATGATATTTAAAGTGTCTTAAAGTGTTTTATGTCTGGTGCAGAAGGCCATCACTCTTCTGAAAATGCTGTGCCAGATTTGCCAGCTCTGTGTCTGTGTCTGGAAAGCCCACAGTATCTCAAATGTGACTAAATGCTGAGTTTTAGGCAACTGAATTGAGTCCTGAAAACTCAGGGCACTGGAACAGGCTCCCAAGGGCAGCACCAGCCTGACAGAGCTCAAGACATGCTTGGACAATGTTCTTAAGCACTTGACATGATTCTGGGGTGTCCTGTGCAGAGCCAGGGGTTGGATTTCAGTGGTCCTTGTGGGGTTTCTTTCAACTCAGGATATTCTATGATTCTGTGAATAAGTCTTATCTAGAGCCTTGTAAAAACACAATTTCTCCCTTGCAAATATACACCTAAATAATAAAATTAACTTGCATCAATATTAAATAATTTGGACTATCAACTATTCTAAAACCTATATATTCTATAGCTAGTGAAATGTCACTGTCACACAGACTGGATGGTTTCTTGAAGTCTTGAGCCTCACAACAGGCAACCTACAGAAAGGAGCCCACAATGAGGAGCTTGCAGAAATCTTCTGGGTTCTTGCTGTATCATACCTTGAGCTCAATTGGCCCAGCACCATGTGAATTTCACCTGTAGAAGACCTTGGGCAGACTTTGCTCAAATTTGCTGTTGCTCTCCCTTCTGGGACTGAGGATAACTTGGCAATTTTTTCTGAAGAACCAAGTGTAAACCTAATTTTAGAGACTGTGGAACTCTTTGTCACTGATGCGTGTTTGTTGAGACACAGTCACATATGTGACAAGGTGACAGCTCCATGGACTGCTAAAGCTCACCAAGATTTAATTTTCTTAAATTTTTCTCCTCATTACTAGCACATCCCCTGTAATTATCATCACTTTGTGGCACTGATGTTCTTTTTTACACTGTTCTCCTAAACACAAAATCACCAGCTATCATAGGTACAATTCTTTCTTTTATCAGTCACAATTATTAGACAAAGTTTAATTTATGGTATTTTAATTTATATTAATTATTTAATATTTAATTAATTTAATATTTTAATAAAATTTAAGTTTATGGTATTTTAATATGGTTTAATTTTATGGTAATTCAATTGATTTTATGGTATTTTAATTTAATTTAATTAATGGTATTTAATTTAATTAGCACTCTTACCATATTGAAGCTGTTTCCTGTCTGGACTATGCAGAGACATGATCAAGATGAACACTTGTGAACAAAAAATTCTGTGTGCTGAGACATGTTTAAGCCTGTAGTGCTACAATGATTCATCCTTGGATGGTCCCGTGCGAGGTGCAATGGCCAGTAAAAACAGGTTTGTTATTTATCATCCTATGTTTGCCTGATGTGTTTTCAAAGAAAATCTCTTTGAAAGACACTGAATAAAATATTAGCAAATGTTCCTAGACGTTTTCCAGGTAAATAGATACAGGTAAATCTATGCCTGCTATCTAAAACTTAATCTTCTATGGCCTGGTTATACTCTTTTTCTAGTTGTACTTCCATTTACTTCTAAATCATACTTACTTCTAAAGATGTTTCTTCTGAAACTCCACAGGTACTAGCATATCCATGCGTCTTCAAAAATCCCCTCCAATTCTGAGAGATCCATTGACATTGATAATTAGAATTAGAAATATGGAGTCTAAACTATTGTTCAGTATCCACTGATGACTTTCTGTGCAAGCTCCTGAATGACCTCTCTGACAATCTGCAAAATCCCCAATGGCACAGGTGTTAAAGATCAAATTGATATGCACATAACCTGTACCAATTTTGTACCCGAATGCTTTGTCAGAGACTTATCTTCCTCTTGCTATTTACATCACTGAGGCTGAAAATTTGACATAAAATTTTAGGGTGTGCAATTAGTTGGCTGGGCTCCTTTGGTTATGGCAATAAGTTAATTTACGGCAAAGTTTAGATTCTATTGGCCTTTAGCATTTAAAGGGAAACTACAAAGCAAAGCTTTCTTCTCAAGTAAAATTCTTTTATTAGCTCCTCTGCTGCTTATTTAATTGGTCTTCAAGAGGAGCAAGGCAAAACAAAACACTCTGTCCTTTCTGCCTAGAGCACTCACAAAGCAGAGCCTCTCACTCAGCAGAAGCCACTGCCTGAGTAAAAGAACAAGGTGTGTATGCAGTTCTATGTCCAGCCTCTGCCTTTGGGGAGGTTTCCTATGGGCTTCAGGCCCAGGGGTCAGTGGATCACTTTCAGATCTGTGCATTGCTGTGCTGAGGTTTCTATCCCTTACCTTACACTCTGTCATTTTGACCATTTGCCTTCTGCAGTGACTCTGTTCCTTTTTCCTTCATGCTGCTTTCTTTGGTGCTTGAGGTGAGCATCAGATGTGATTTTAGGACACCATTTCAGGAGATCAATTTACACTGCTCCTCTAAGGCTTCCAGGTCTGCTGGTACTGAGTTCAGGCAGTCTCAGCTCAGATGAAGGGCTGTTTTCTTGAGCTGGGAAGGGAGGGCAGGATAGAGGTGCAGAGCTGGCAGCTGCCAGGAGCACAGCAAGGCAGAGCTGCCCTGTCTTCTCCTTGAGCTACCACATCCCCAGTCCCACCCCAGTGTGTCTGGACACATCCCTTAGTGGCTGGGAGACAGATTCCCAGGGACTTGCTGGGGAAAGGGCAGAATGTGTGGTGGGGCATACCTATTTTATTTTCTTCTCCGGTACCAGTGCCTCATGGTACTTACCTGTTTGTCTTTTCTGCCTCAGCTATTCACCTGGTGTCCCTGTTTCCATTTATTTGCTATGTGATACCAGCAGGAAATGTAGTAGCACAGAAATACAAGTAGATGTAGTAAACTCAGGGAGTCCTCAAAGCCTTGCAGCAAATGAGCATTCCTTCTATGATGTTGTTAGTACCTGGCAGAAAGAATCCAGCATTAGATATTATGCTCTGGGAACACAAGCCTTCTATTGTTTGGCCAGAGCATGAATCTGTTTCCTATTTTGTCTCTTATGCTGCTTTCCAATCCAGCTATTTGTTGGGAGGGCAAAGCCATAAAGGACATAAATTATGCCTTTAAGACTCTCTTTGCAGAGATTACCTGCGGATAGTGTAGGTGAATAATTCTGGGATTGGATGGAGAATGGAGAATGACTTTGGGGGAACTGGAGCTGGCTGATTCAAGAGCCCATGAATTCTTATAGTAATTTGCTTTCTTTTAAAAGAGCTTTAGAAGAGTCTTCTGAAACATGAATTGTGCTGCACCATGTGCATGTTTTCAAACTGACTTCTAAGTAATAAGATTCTGTGACACAGAAATAAACATTTCTATGTTACAATCTTGTTCAACAATGAGGTTGAGACTGAGAGCTGCAGTTCTGTAATTCTTGAATAAAAATGGGAGCTAACTATATTGGGCAAGTTATAGTTCAGATTGTTTCTAAAGACAATTAATATGGTAGCAGGTTTTGTAAGTTCTTCACACAAGGGCAGACTGGGGTTTTTGTGGTGGTTTACCAGCAAAGTGTGCAAGACGTGCATGCAGACACAGAGGTCTGCAATACAGAAATGCTTTTCTCACCAATTTATCTTTTTTTTGTGACCACAGATTAGATTTTTTTTGCGTTTGGCAGTTTCAGAGTCTAGGGTTTTCTGTATCTGAAAGCTGCACCCCCCAAAATTATTTCTAACAAGATACAAATTGCTTTGTCTTACATGTGTGAGGCTGGTGTTGGGTTGTCTTTTATATCCTATATTCCATAGTTTATAAAACAACAGATGTTTGACAGGTCTCAGTGGTTCTTGTTAATTTACATATGAATATTTTTCAGACTTTTAACTGAAGCTATTACCTGGGCAGTGGAATTCTGTGGAGCAATTGCTGGCTACTGATGTACCTTTGTCCACAGGAGTGACTTTTGTACTTTATGTGCCCTGAGTTTACTCAATCCAGGTCCACAGCTTAGGAGCAACTTTTGAACTCCACATGCCCTGATTATTCCTCCACACTGCCATTCTCTGAAGCCTTTTCAGGTTACATTCATTCTCCATTTTTTCTACAGTTTAAAGATGGCCAGTTTAATTCTTCTCACTTTTTTCCCCTTTCTTTTTTTTTTTTTTTTTTTTTTTTTTTTTTTTTTTTTTTTTTGTTTTCCCTTTTAAGCCAAAAAGTGCATTGAACACCCTGAGTCATCTAGGTGTTATTTAGAGATTAGGCTTTATTTGGGTTTTATGAGGAGTTTCAAGAACTGGGCAGGTTTTCCTTTACGAAACTGGAAGAGAGAATCTTGACAAATCAATCTGCAGTAAAATAACACAATATTAACACCGTAAAGGGAAATTTCAAGAGAGGGAGCTATTAATAAAAACTTTCAAACTCATTTCCTGTAGGGGGCATTTGAATACAAATGAGTGCATGGTGATTTACAGTGCTCCGGACAGCAAATAGCAGCAGCTGACACCTGAGAGCTCCTTTGCTCCCCTGCTCTCTTTAATTGCTCTTACCCTACTAACAAGATGCAAGTACCCATCTAAGAGTAAAAATATCCAGATTCCCAGTTCTCTGGATAACACATAATACAATTGCACTTCTCTTGCATTTCAGGTGGCTGCATGGACATCGTTGGAGGACATGAAGTGCATCCTCATTCCTGGCCTTATATGGCTGCTATCCAGGACAAGAATTTAGGTGTTTGTTGTGGAGGAGCTCTTCTGGAAAAGCAATGGGTTTTGACAACAGTACCTTGTGAGTAAGTGTCTTAAAATGGGGTAATTTTAATTCTTCATTGAAGTGAGGCATGGTATGCAAGCCTCTGAGTGAAGAAAGGTGAGTATTGATTTTTTAAATAGGTTGTTAGACAGCTGCAGTTCTCTCCATGGAATTATCCTAGAACTTATTATTTTTTTTTAGTTGCTATAAACTACTGATCTGCATTGCAGTTACCTTCATTAGTAACTTCCTGTCAAAGTTACAACACAAATAATGTGCTGTTAAAAGACCAAGTTAATTATTTATGCAATAATAAGCAATATGAAAAAGCAATGTCTTAGAGAAGAGAATGTGTCCCAAGGATTTAAAACAAATCTTATGTGTATGCTTGGAACTAAGCCTCAAAATACCCTGAGAGAGATGAATTTGAATTAGATGTTGACACTATTCCTCTCATTTTGAGCGACTTAGGCTCACAAACACAGAATGTTACTCATGTCATGTCCTGTGACGAGGAACCTTGTCCTTTTGACAAGTTAAATGTGAGCAGAAGCATCTCTTCCCCAGGTGGGATGCTCTGCTGTTGAACAGCTGACTCAAGGTAAGGGGGACATCTACTGTTCACATTAGGAAGTAAAATGCCCTGTTTTTCTTAAAATGTTCCCTGAATTGTATTTTAGTTCTGCAATTTTTCCTTCTTATTTTCACTATCTAAAAGGAAAAAAGTTACAATAAACCTGTGCAAACCTGACCTCCTTAAACACAGTGTGGGTAGGTTGGCCAGCCTTCTGTGAGTTAGTCTGAAATAGAGGACACAGTTCCTTCAGAGTGAATTTGACTTTCACTATTTTTCAGCTGAATCAGGTGTGATTGTAAGGGTAGAAATACTAATTCCTAGCATTCTCTGTTTAGCAAATTTACAAAACATAACCATGTCTTCCTTTTTGGAATTAAGGGACTTTTTAATGAGATTTGGAGTCTCTTATTCTTCAATCAATATTCCGAGATAGCCAGTCAGATATATTTATAAAACTTCAGATTTGTTAGCTGTTCAGTGGAAAGGGTATTGTGTGTCTCTGATCCTGTGGAGAATGTGCTCTGGTAACTGATCTGGGTTTCTTACAGCATATTGTTTTGGTCTGACTTTAAGTCTTTGCCACTGGGTCAAGTTGAACCAGCCTGGTTTCCTTCTCCTAAGCTGTAAAACAATGCTCACACAAAACCCACCAACACCTGTTCTATGCCTGGTGCAATTGCAGTGCATGTAAAATTTCCTAATTAATGGATCTCATGTGTTAATGATGTCTGAAATAGTTTTTTTTCCTTAGGCAAAACAGCACGAATTCAGCAACATGAGTTTCTGTGTGGCCTGTGAAACACTTGTTAGAGTCACAGAGACGGAGTTTTGAGAGACATCTTATTCTCTCTGAGGAAGTGTGCAGATATTTCCACAAATAAACTTCCCTGTATAAATAAATGAATAATGTCTTTCAGTGGCACATGTATCTTGAATGAAGAAAACTGGTTTTTTATAGTTTGTATTGATAAAATCTTTGTTCTGGCTTGAATAAATTTTCCTATTTATAGTGAGATTATGTTCTGAAAATTAAGCACAGGAAACTGGCAGTATGTGTTCTGCAATGTCAAATTTTTGGGTTGGATTAAGTTTAGCAGTGAAAAATGAAGAAAGACAAATGTTAATAAATACATTTCTGATGATGTATTATAGAGCTTGGAACATAGTGGAATTTATTGGTTGCTCAACTCTTAATGTTTAATAGCAGGAAGTGAATGTATAACTCTTTGAATTTTAACATTCTCCCTTTTAAAAAAAATATTCACTACTGGGGTGTCTTGGGTTAGGTAACACACACCCTTCTTCCTTAATGTGCTGAATCCTGTGTTTTGAAAATTAAGGACAAAAAGCTTCTTAATATTAAAGATACTCACTTTGGCGGGGCATTTACTCGTATGTATAACTCGTATATACTCAGGATAAACTTTGAGTATTGATGTGTGTTCTGGCATGCTACTGATGCCAGAAAAGTTTGTCTTTGCAGGATTAGGTCATAAATCCAATGGAGACGTTTCAGAGGTTAAAGAAAGGCATCAGCAGCAGCTGTCCTTGTGCAAGCAGCTCCCATTCTAAAGATGGGAGGCTCTTTCACAAAATTTCTGAAAATCTCTGGAGGTCACTTATCACACAATTATTTCACAGAAAAAGAAGTTCATGTCAAAACATTGAAATGAATGATTTCCTGCTCTATCTGTTTTAATCCCAGTGTTGTAAAACAAAATGGTATTGTGTTGCATGTCTTTTGATTATCCTCAGAGATGTTGCTGAGTTCCTGTAGTGACTTTCTCTTCTTATATTTTCTATAAGTTACAGAATAGATGAACTGGAAGACAGTTGTTCTTGGAGCTCATTGGACATCCATTCCTGAAGGAGCACAGCAAATATTTGGGATTATGGAAACCTTTCCTCATTGACAGTTTGACTGGCCTCCCTTTGACAATGACATAATGCTCCTCAAGGTATTGTTTTAATTACTGCTCTATTTTTATGAAAGGAATTTTGCTGATGATCATTTTGGCTACTCTTTGATACTAAAGAATACATTGTTTAGATAACAATATCATAGAACAGTGTACTTTTGGTTGTATTAATCTAGATGATTTAGAGGATCACTGGCTCTGTGAGTAGATATGATATTTCAAGCCTGTTCTCTGCTCTAAAACTCTCTTTTTAATCCATTCACTGCAGCAACCCCTCCAAAACACAAAGCACATTCTCCCGTAATTTTCCAAAGCCGATGCTGAAGGGATGTATGCAATGGAGTCTGGCTCACATCTCTATCCCACAGTTAGATCTTGTGCTGGACTAAGTAAAAATGGAGATGAAACTTACTGCTAATTTTCTGGTGTAAGCAGGTAAAGTGAAAGTGTGGATAATACAGGGCATACAGACTCAGCTCAAGGAGCACAGAGTGGTCACAAAGTGGAGGAGGCTCAGGACACTGCAGAATGAAGCATGGAAAATGTCCTTGCCAACACTGTCATCTGATGCCAAAGTGGGGCAGACCTACAAGAATTTGAATTTACAGGGAGGTGCCCCTGCCTGTGGCAGGGGGTTTGGGACTAGGTGATCTTTAGGGTCCCTCCCAGCTGTAACATTCTATGATTCTATTATTCTGTGACTGGAACCTGTTTTTTAGTATTTAGATGGTCTCACTGGTTTGACATGGCAATGACACAGGGAGGAAGGTAACCACATCCCTCTCTGCACTAGCTGGAACACCTACAGGCACCTGTGGCTCAAGCACCAGAGTTCATCTCTGAGGAGCTCCTTCCCCTGGATGTTAGTGAGCATTCTACTTCTGCTTCCTTGTCAATGTCGATCAGGCTCATCTCACTGACTTCTCCTGTGGCCACTTGACAGGAGCACCAGGGTGTCTGGGAACACAAAATCAAATGGATCACTAGGAAGTAATATTTCTAGAGCTGAAAATCACAACTCTTTCCAGAATGATACAGATATCTCAAAATCCTCTGAATTTTACACAGAAGCAGGGATAGTACTAGTACCAGAGCTTATCTCCTGTCTCTACACTTCTGCAGTAATGGAGTATTCAGTGGCTTGGAATAAGCTTTCCATCTTTGGAACTTTCCAGCAGCATTGGCAATGATAACTGCAAATAGATTTTAAAATAAATTCTTGATTTGTTGGAATGCATTTTTTGAAAGGTATAAATCCAGAATTGCTTAGCTGAGAACCATGTATCACCCAGTATCACCCTCTGAAATGAATCATGGTGCAGTGATCATAAGACTGAAAGTGTATGTTTGGTACCTGTGAGCCCTTACCAAGCACACTGAGGATATATGTCAGGGTTTGCTGTGTTTTTATTTACTGACCTCTGCTGAAGGATGGATCTGTCAGGCAAAGGCCAACAAAACACAGACAGTCTGAATAATTTGAGCCCTTTCTAATATCTCAGAGCAAAAATTGGCAGTCTGAATAGATTGAGAGCTGATTTTTCCTCAATGATGTTGCTGCTTTTGTGTCTAATTGCTTATAGTTTTGTTTTCATCTTTGTTCGTGGGCACATCACACTGTGCTTCGAGAATTTTCTGTCAGTCAAGCACCAGAACCTGATTTCAACACTGACGTTTAGTGGCAAGTTAGGTTTGTGAACAGAACATAGATCCAACAACCTAACTCCCATGCAGGTTTTACATTTCCCACTGTATCCAATGGAAAGCTGGGCTTGAACTCACTACTGCTGCCATAGATGGGAAATTGCTGAAATGCTACTATGGAAAGTCTTGTGAATTGTCAAAGGGACAATTAAGCTCAGGATCAGTTCCTAAGTAGTGAAAAGTGACTTTTAAGGGAAGTGGTGGTAAAATGAGACTAAATGATAACTGAAGCTATGTGATACTTCCCTTCCTTTTTGCATAAGAAATCTCGTTTTTCCTTGTTTTTCCTTCTTTTTTCTTTTTTCTTTTTTCTTTTTATCTGAATGATACTGCCAAGCTGAATAAATATGTGCAACTTTTGCCTCTGCCTGACTTTTTTGAAGATGTTGAACCTGGCACACTCTGCCAGGTGGCTGGCTGGGGAAGACACATCACCAGGAAAGCCATCAAAATATCTCCGTAAGACAACTCTTAAAATTGTTAGTAGAAAAGCTGTTACAAACATTATGCCAGTGACCCAAAAATAACCAACAACATGTTGTGTGCTTCAGGGAAAAGTAAATTATATCTGAGTGATACTTGTGAGGTAAAAAGCAAAGTTATGAGGGTGGGGAAATGGTTCCCTTTTCACTGGGAACAAACAGTGTTAGACATCTTAGGAGGATGATCATGTTTTAAGTGATTTAAACCACATTTGTGAGAGACTTTATTGCTGTGAAAAAGATGTGTTAAAACTTTGTTTAGTTTAGGTCACTGTACCAATCAGGATCAAGAGTATGGGAATTTGAGCTGGAGTTATCTATTAACTTCAGGTATATTTCATTAGCTATGGTGCTCTTCTTAGACACCGCCTGTAGTTATGGGAGAAAAAGCAGAGTTATCAGGGTCTCAATCATTTGATCCTTTCCAGAAGTCAACATCTGAATAGTACAGAATTACCCAAAAGCGCTGTTTGGATCTTGCTTTTGATGTTCTCTGTGCTGAATCCAGAAGCGATAATTGATAAAGAGATGAGAATCAATTTATACCAACAATAAAAAATGTATTTTGAAAGCGAATTATGATAGCACTCTGCTGCTCCACAGCATTTGCATGAAAGGTCCCTCAGGTTTGAAAAGCAACCTCTCTTTATTCCTGATCCAACTCCTATTGAATGATGTAAGCCAACTGCTCCATTTCACAGGCTGGAAAAGGTTAGAGACAACATTTCCAAATATGCCTGTGCACTGCAGGTGGCACTGCATGCTCCTCTGGTGAGAAATGGACTCACTGACAGCTGCTTCTGATTTGTCTTCCAGGGAGATTCAGGTGGGCCATTAATCTGTGCTGGCCAGTGCTGTGGGATGGTTTCTTTTGAAGAAGAATGTGAAAATATAAGCATACCTGGAGTTTATACGCAGCTGACTGAAGAATATATTGACTGGATAAAAAGAACAGTTAGACAGATCTATGAAACAAGAGCATTTCAATAAATATTATGCTGTGCATTAGAACTGGATGCTGCTGCTTTAGTGCACCACCTTTGAAACGTACCTCCCAGCTTTACAGCTTTGATGACACCACCACAGCTTTCTGTGAACAGCTCAAAGTATCCACATTTGTACAGACACCACCTTTACTAAGCTTTAGCAGGAAACTGCCACATAGAAAACATAATTTGTATTAGATTCCACTCTACTTCTTACTAGGATGGGAAAGTATTCATTGCACTTGGGATAAAGCAACATTTTTTAATGTGTACTTACATAAAAATTCAGTTTCAGAATGATAGTGAATGAGAAGTCTGCTGAATGAGCAAAAATAGAACAAAAGCTTAAAATGTTAAAATATTTATCTGGAATGTTATTAAACCCCAAATACATAATTTTACCATTATTCAATATTTATTTATCTAATTTCAATTTCAAGAAGTTAAAATATTAAGCAGAGAGAAACAGTTTTTCAATTACAAATATATAGATAAAAATAATCTGTCTTTTTTCCTTAGATTTTTTCCTTCCTTATTTTAATTATTTTTTAAAATTTGTGCTTTTTTTTTTCTTTTTTTTTTCTTTTTTTTTTTTTTTGGGGGGGGTGGGGGGCATGGGTGTTGGGTCTGTTGTTTTTTTGTTTATTTGTTTGTTTGTGCTTTGTTTTGTTGATCAAACAAACGAAATCCTCTCACAGCTTGGTTCATAATCTCACACTTTCAGTTAATCGTTTGCTCAGAAAGTATAAATACCAACTGTAATAGATGTAATTATCGTTCTCTAACACAGCTCCTAACATCTGTCAAAACAAACAGGGCTCTGGCTATGGATTTCAATAGACTTCTAGTAACAGAAGGACCTGGTGTGTTTCTGAAGAAATCTGTGGTTAGCTTGCTGTACTACATCACCTTCCAAATATTTTCTAGGTCTTTTTTAACTAACAACTTTGATGTGACCATCTGCAGAGTTTCTCTCTTTCTGTGCTTATTGCACTAACATGCACTAAATACTGTAAGCTTTGAGATGTTGCAGAGGCCTGAATAAATAACTCCAGAACAACGACCTACTGGCTTTGATTATTGACCAGGAGCCATGCCACAATTCTGAGCAGAGCAGGAAAAGCTCATAGAGGATATATACGCAGGAAAGAAGCAACAGGACACCACAAAACTGGGTCAGTCGTTTGCCATAGTGCAATAAAACCTGCCACTGTGGTGTGTGGGGGCTTAGACCCAGTTCTTGTCCAAGGTTGTGGGAAGGAAGATCTTAGAAGATGTCAGTGGGATTTGGCTCAGTACTGGAATACAGAGAAAACTGGGAAAAACTGAGGGAAAAAGCAAAAGATACATAAAAGTGGAAAGAATTGTTCTCACCAATAATTGTACCATTGTTCTCACTTTACAACTGGGGATCTCAGAGGATGCTGCAGCACAAATTAGTCCCTTTTAACTTTGTGAGGTAAATGACAGGAGACTTTTCACACCATGAAGCCCAGTGGTCACAAATTGGTGTTCAACTTGGCGAAGGCAAGACTTTCACTCCCTCACTCATGTGAACAGTGGCTGACTCTTTCACTGATTGAAAAAAGTGCTTGATAAAATCTGGAGACCATAACCAGCAGGCTCATTACAGTTCAGTTGGTGGGCTTCCTGTGTGTGATCTCTCCTCATTCACATAATCTTTCTTCTGTTTATGGGTGATGGAGCACGTGGAAGGGTGTTATTTCTAGGTCTGACTGCTCCTGCCAAGCCCCTGTGGCTCCCTCCCACTTTTACCAGAGCCCATCTCAGCCCAGGGCCAGCAGCCCCTCCCCAGCAACAGTTACGGGGCAGCAGCCTTGACTCAATTTCTGCCCACCCTGAGGCTTTGCTCCCTCCCGGTGCAATAGGAGGGAAGTCTTTGCTAGCTTTGAAATACCAGTGCCTGCCCTCCCACCCCTCTCACTGAGGAGGTGCACTTTGGGCTAGGGAGAGTGCGGGAGTCCTGCAAAATGTCCCACAGTTCTGGATTTTGTTAACAGCTCTGAAAACACACGACGGAAGGATAACTGTTTCTGCAGCCAGAGATGAGCAGAAAAATGGTCCAGGAAAAGGAGGTGACCACTCCTAAAAGCACTGCTGGGCTGATTCTCAGAACTGAAATCAAAGTAGGAAAGCCACAGAGAGTGGCTCCATGTATGTTACAGTTTTGCAATGACAGACACCAACAAAGCCTGAAAAAATTAAGCTGGAGACACATTGTTTACCAGATTAAGAAGAGCTAATTTTCAGCAGCTTGTGGCAGAGTTTACTAAACATACTAACACAACGTTTGCAATTCCACTTTCACTTAGTGAGAGAAATTTAGTCTTGTCTCTTTTAACCCAACATGCCTTAGCACTAATCTCTAGGTGCCTGAGAGGTGTCCCCTTGGGCAGTACCTTCCAGCTCCTAAACATTGGCTTCTTCTATCAGACCAGCTCTCTGGTGCTATTTTTATCCCCACTGGAAATTTATGAGTGGATTAAGGGATCCTGCCTCAGGAATCCTTCTGCCCTTGGCCAGGCATATGCTCCTGTCTATGCTCGCACTTCTCAGCTTCGTCCAAGCAGAGCTCAGTTCTCTGTCCCACTTTTGCTTCTCTATCTGTTTTTACTGAGGTCTTCCAGGTAAGCAATATTTCTTAAGGATTATTTTCTGAGATCTGACTTGCTTGTTGCCTGTCACACAGTCATGACTGGGCACAGAGAGCAGCCCCTAAGGCTGGCCAGGCTGCGCAAGGAGCTGACAAGTGGCACTGGCATGTGATGCATGGTGCTGAGCAGAGCACACAGTGCTGACACACAGCCCTTGCTTCTGTCTGTGAGAGGGGACTGACAGCTCATATGCATCACACTGGGGTGCAGAGGCCAGGTTTGGTCCTCAGGTTCATACTGCTCTTGTGCTGGGCAGTAGTGCCTGATGTTTCGTAGTAGCTTTGGCTGTACATACAGTGCACTGCGTGTTCAATTTTTTGTTAATTATTTTTTAAAACAAGTTTCTATTTCTCAGTACAGAGGGCATCATTATCTACTGTCAGCAACTGTTGTTTCCTGAAACTGTGGTGGTATGCCTGAAGCATGGACTGCCTCCACAGCTTCTAGTCAAAGCCTTTGTTTTGTCTTCTGACTACAGAGCTGCCTGCTATCTAGCAAGCTGTAAAAGTAACCTACCTTTTGGGCAATGCAATCTGGCATCAGGAAGAAACATTTAAAAAATAAAACTAAAACAAAACAAGCCATCAGATTTTCAAGATAATTTTCTGGAATACTTGCCAGAAGAATCGGTTCATCACAGTCAGACAAATTACAGCAAGTCATTTTCATATGTCTGCTATGTCTTCAAATTACAGATTGCTAATCTAAGAAATGTATCCTAATCTTATTAGTGACCTGGCAGCTGGTTCAGACACTTCTACCCCAGTATGCTTATAACCCCACAATCTTCTGAACGAGCTTCTTTTGGATTGACTTATGCATTTCATAATTAATGTCTAACAGATTACAAGTAAGTTTAATTTAATTGCAATTCAATTCAAGGTGGCACAGGTTTTTTTTGAAGCAAGGAATCACAGAAAGATAAGCAAAAAAAGCCTTTGTTTAAAAAAAGCCCTTATATAATAATACAATAGGAACTTATATATCTTAGCCACTTACAAAGATATATATTAGATTTAATATATAAACAATAGGGTTTCAGAGACTCATTCTTATGAATTATTAATACATTTTTTGGTAAAAAGCAAGAAACTTTGCCCTATTAACACATTCTTATAACACCTTTATTTCAATAAAAAAACAAGTGTCACTGCAGCCACATAGAAAATCAAGATAGGGATAATTAGAACAGAAGCAATATCAGTAAATGAAAATAATTAAATATTACTTTAATCACTCAATCACTCCTAAAAAGTACTAAAAACTAACAGTTATGAGTATTTCATTATCTATTATTTAACAAGTCCAAAGAAGGGCCATGATGATGATTAGAGGGACGGAGCACTTCTGCTGCGAAGAAACACTGAGAGAATTTGGATTATTCATCCTGGAGAAGAGAAGGTTTTGAGATCACCTAATTGCTGCCTTCCAGTACCTGAAGGAAGCCTATAAGAAAGGTGGAGACAGACTTGTTACAAAAGCATGTAGTGACAGGACAAGGGAGAATGGCTTCAAACTGAGAGAGAGTAGGTTTACATGAGATGTTTGGAAGAAATTCTTTACTCAGAGGATAGTGACTGGATCTGGAACTGGTTGCCTGGAAGTTGTGGTTGCCCTGTCCCTGGAATTACTCAAGGACAGGTTGGGTGGGGCTTTGAGTGAAGGCGTCCCTGTCCATAGCAGGGGAGTTGGAACAGATGATATTTAAGACCCTTTCCAATCCAAATGATTCTATGATTCTATGATTTCCATTTAAATGGAAAAACGGTACGTGACTTTTCGTTGAGATTACCTTGAAACAATGTAGAGGATGTTACCTATTAGGATGTGCTGGTCAGTCTGTCTCAAGCTGTTGCAATCAAAAGTAAGACATATTTTTTTCAGCTCAGAAAGAATACCAGAAATCTGATACCAGAAAAAAGCAGAAATGGTTTGAAAGTAGGTGCATGAAAATAGGGTGGACTTTGGACTAGTATACGTGCAAAACCTGTGATATATTCAAATTGCAATGGACCACATTGACAGTGATGAGGCTTTCACTGGTTAAAATCTTGGACATCACATTACTTGCCAAAAGCCACAGTCCTGTTTGGATACTGGTCTTGGCAGTGTTCAAGTAACAAATATTTACACTGAGCTCACAATTATTCTCCAACTTTGGGCATGCTCATGCTTCTCCCTTTCACTGGGGTTGTGAGAGGCCCTGTCTTTCAAAGTGGTCCAGCCAGACCTTGTCAACAAATTCCTCCTACATACAATCCACATAATAACGAAAAGAATAATGTGAAGGCTGCAATTGTGCCTGCATCACTGTAGATATTGCACAGACAGACAGAAAAGAAATTTGCTGATACTAATGTGTGGTTCATTTTCTTTCTGCAATATTAGGTGGGTTCTAACCTAGTTTCCTTGGTGTGGCTGTATAATCCAACGTAGGTAGGTGAGAACAGGGTGCTGAAAAGGGTGATACAGGCTGCCGTGGTGCTTGTGAACCTAGCTATGTCAAGTTCAGAAGCGACCACATCCACAGTGGAGAGGAGTGGAAGGAGTTTGTGCTGCTTCAGGAGTAGAAATGGATGGCTGAAGTTAACTTGTCCTGTAGACTGAGACTCTGATGCAGCAACAATCAGCCAGGGAGTGCCACTGAGATTTGACAGGGACTGCACATCAGAGCCCTGAATTATTAAAAACCATCATACTTTATAACAGACTATTCTGTCTTATGAACAATGATGCTATCGAGCAGTCTTTGCCTCATTGAGCAGAAATATTGAGACTACCTGAACAAGGTGAGAGCACTGCTGGTAAGAAAACACAAAAACTAGATTGAATTCTAAAGTGAGATTTAAATTGTTTTTCTTCCAGGCCTCTTTCCTTCCCCTTGTTTTTCCTGCACTGTTACTAAAGTCAGGATCACATTAGTGGTTACCAATTTTGATATTCATATTTGGGTGGCAATTTCCAGAAGGGTTTGTTGTTCCACCAGCAGTGCCGGGTTGGGTTTTTCCCTCTTCATGGTGCTTGGTTGCAGCTTAGCCATCGTGGGAAGTGTCTGCCCAGACAAACACTTCCAGTGTCTTTGAAAGGGTTTCCATCTGCACACCAGTGGTTTCCAAGTCCTGTTCCAGGCATCTATCTTAGGCAATAGACAAACAAAAAACCCCTTTCCCTTTATGCTGATTGTTGAAAATGGACTTCCTTATTTTTACATCCAATGCTTCATAAACGAAAAAACCCAAATATTTCTCATTTTATAAAACAGAAAAAGCCACTATAGCCAGCACTGAAGGTACTCTGCCCAGTTCTGGCCCAAGTGGCCTCCCGGGATCCATGAGGGAACATGTTGTACACCAGAGCTGGTGGTGTTGGGAGCTGTTTCCTGCTGTCAACAACTATCTGCAGCTCCCCTTCCTCTTTATTCACTTTGCAGCTCTGCGCGAGACACCTGCCCAGCACCCAGCCAGCATTCATAGTCCAAAACATTATAGCACAGGAAGAAGATCCATAATACAGTGCAGGGCACAATTAAAACATGGGATTGAGTAGCAGCTATCTGGTTTTAAATAAATCATCTAAGAAATTGCATCCGATTGTGAACTATTTCAGAACTATTTCTGGATTAAAAAGCTTATTCTGTCATGGTCAAGGAAACATTTAAAATAGCTCATGCTCAGACTATGATAATTCAAAAGATAAAGCAAAAGAGAAGAATAATGTGCCATTATGGAGAAATCACATATTGAGCCTGTCAGATTCCCAACTTGGAAAGATAGCTCCAGCTTTGTATATTTCACTCATATTTCTTTTTCCCAGGTAGTTTTCTTAAAGAATAAATCTTCTGGGCATTTGGTAAAATGACTGAAAATTACCATCAAGCTTTGAACAAATAACTAACCTTGATCAATTAATAAAATTTAAAAAAAGACTAATTGTTTATTATATTTTACTCTCTCATCTCCTATTCTGAGTGTATATAGCGGCATATAAACTATCACATTTCTGAGTAAAAATGCAAGGTAGTGTTCTGCGCTTGTAATATTGCTAGCTATTACACCTCTTCTATCAATACATTAAGAAAGCTGAAAATAATGAGATACAAGCCAAAATAGACTTAGAAGTGCTCTTTATAGGTTTATAACTTATAATTTTAAGCTTTCTAACAGTTTTATTTCTTAGTGAGACCAGATTTGTCACAGGCAATATGCAGCTGTTACTCCTCATCACTTTCTGATTAGAGCTTGTTTGCAAACATTTCTTTCCATATTTTGAGCAAAAACCACAAAACAGAGATCATAAAACATTGAAAGCATCATGTGAAATCTGACCCCGCTGACACAGCAGTTATGCCATTGGGGTCAGCATTCACCCACAATATGCGTGCTCTAGGGAAAGAAAACAAAATTTTATTTGCAAACAGAGACATACAATATATGGAACAAAGGAAAAAGGATGTAGGAAGCATGTGTGTGAAAATCCTTTTGCGACACTGGGGAAACAAATGGTCCTGTGTTAGGTCCCTCCAACTGCATTGTTCTTGGAGACCCTGACTGGTGTCTTTTTCCATGGAAGCCAAAATATTAATTCAGTTTGTTTCCAAACCTGAAGCTCACTGAAGTAGATGCCAATTCATATAGCACAGAAATGCCAATTGATATAGCACAGCAATGCCTGAGGACCAGCCACCAAAGTGTCCTTTAACAAGGCTTTGCTCCTTTAATCCAAAGTCTCAGAGGCTTCAGCTGAGATAGACATGAAGGATGTAGTGTGAGAACTGTGAACAAGAGAAAGTAATAAAAATGGAGAAATGGAGTAAAGGACCAGTCTGCTGAGCTCTTATTTTTGGGGTGCTTTTTGTGTGTGGCATAAGTAAACTTGCACATAGATCAGAGAAAGTACAGTATAATAAAAGAGAAAAACAGTATAATGAGGACTAAGGCTTAGCCAGAGAGATTGTGTGGCAGAAAGAAGGAATA